AACTCTTTAAAGAAAGGTAAGCTGACAAATTAACAAAAGAGTCCATTGAATAGACAACTTTGCATGTCAATTACAGCACAGCACAAAGGCTTAGTGACTGCTGCCGAGAAGAACCAAATAGAAATGCTGCTGATACAGCAGTATCCATGCTTAAGTGGATCATTTGGATCAGGTCAAGTAAGTATAAAAAGTTAAAGACATAGTTAATGATTTTCTAAATATGATAAAAGACCAATCCTTTTGTTTACATTACCACTAGTTCTATTTAATCATGCGTTGGTAAAGGTAATCATGCTTTTATAAAAGAGTTTGATACTGTCTTGTTTATGGAAATAGAAAACGTTGCTGTCACTAGCTACGACTATTACATTTGCACAAGACTTGCAGTTGTTCTTTTGGAAAAACGCGGTAGTTACGTTCTCGTGGTAATTATGTAAAAAATCTAGCGCTTTTTGGAATGGGCTGGTCATAAGTCACTAACTTTTCTTTCTAGTTCACATTTTGCTCGTTATCGTTTAACGTAATAGCATAGATAATTCTATCATAAAAACTCCTATTTAGCAATTCTGGGCAAAGAAAATCAAAGATCGCCTGCTAAATATAAGAAGGAAAACTGCGAGAGAGGTTAAAGTTTACATATTCTTGGCATGCAGATTACATCATGCTTGCCGTGTTAGATGATTTTGACAAAACATTTTTCTTACTTACTATCTAATTATAGTCCAACATTCTTGGCAAACCTCCATTATTCGTTCACTCCGTGAAGAGAGGCTGGGAACCATTTAAGGCCCGTTTCCACTTAAGAAAATTTTTCCGAAGAATGTATAATTTTTCACACTGCACATGCTTTCACCAGACCAATAACACAAAGTTGAAATTTCTTCTCGAATAAACATTCAATGTTGTCCACTGGAAAATTTGATCGCAAAATTTGATCCTAAATATGTTATAGGAGGTTTATCCCTCACGGATAAAGCTAATCTTTTCATTTTCTCGATTGGTACTAAAATACAATGTATTTCGTTGCAATGCTTGCACTTATGAAGTCTATGAAGCGGGATTAATCGAGCAGAAAAGCGACGACACTTCGCAATGGCGCCGATATTAAAAGAATGTCCATGTACGAAATATCTAAGATAAAAGCCACTGCACTGCGTCCAAACTTGAGAAAACTGGGGTTAAAATCTTATTTTGTCATCAGTGATCACGGAAATGTACAAGATTTGCCGAATACTTTCAAGATTCGGCGATAAAAAGCACACAAGACGGCAAAATATGGCCGAAAGCAGGTTAAGGAGGAAGGTATGCGAAATATATTCTATCGTATGCCAGCAAAAACAATGTCAAATGCTTGAATTAACGAATAATTAGAGTAAGTTGAGTGTGGTTTTTCATCCTATATTATTTTTTCTATGAAAATTCAATCTCTGCCAAGAATATTTGTTAATTTATGCAAAATTGGCATTTGACCATAGCTGGTGTATTGTAATTTTCTCAGTAAATATTAAACTTATGTAAATTTTTCCTGCGATGATCACCCCTAAAAGTGAGCCTTCTAAGCACCTTAAAACATTACAGAATCGTTATTGCTATTTTTTCTGGAAGTTAGAGCTATGCATGTCGACACTGCAGTTTCAGGACTTTGGTCGCGCATTGAGCAAATGGCACATATGCCATGTGTACGTCATGGTCATTTTACCCAAAAACAGTTGAGATAACTTCGGGTAAATGAAAATGCATACAAACTCTTATACTGGTCCTAGACTAATATGTATCATGCGACAAGCCTATACTTTTCGGTATATTGACTTTCGGTGTATTGCATTTAGCGAAATGTTTCCTACAGTGATTATGTTTCCAACGAAGCTTTAATATTTAGCTCAATTGCTGTTTCTTACGTCATGCTAGGTCTATAAAATCTGTAATTAAAAGATTTGTTAATTTAAAATATTTTTACAGGAAAATCGTAGTATAATGGCTTCATTACCTTACGTAGCTATTGGGAGAGAAGAAAGGAAATCATTAACGTCGGGGACTTATTTTGGAAGATTGTAGTTGCTCAATATTGCATTATGTAATATAACTTACAAGGCATATGTTTACGCCACAGGGCATTTTTAATGCAGCCTGTATGTTTCCGCTCTTTTCAAATAGCAAAAGTTTTGACCCGGCAAATTTTGTTAATAGAGCTACGTTTCTTTGAAAATCTATTTTTAGACAGAAACATGCGAAAGAACAGTTGCAAAAGAGATAGAGCAAAGTTCCACTCCCAGATTGATTTCGTCTGGAACAGCGCTGAATGTTGAAGCGTTATGCCTTGCTGCCGAAGACATGATGGGGTATGCAGATTTGGGATTAAATGCCGTCGTAACGTTGCTTGCCAGTTCTACGCATTCAATGTAGGCTTGCCACGAGGACTATATAAAAACGTATATGTTTTTTTGAGCATGTCCTGTTGAGCCAGCTACCTTGTTCAATGCCCATTGCAGTGGACAATTGTCTTTCGGAGATGCAGCGACTATTAAGGGATTTTGAATATACTATTTAGTTACATGTTTGTAAATAAAGATCGTCCAGGTTGGTATAGTCCTGAGAAGGACTGTTTTTGTTGATGTGGACTGACGTTTCGACAACCTTAGCGGTAGTCATTTCAGTCAAAAACTCTGACTCTGAAGAGTTTTTGAGAGAAACTTTAGACTGTGAAGATGACTACCGCTAAGGTTGTCGAAACGTCAGTAAACAACAACAAAAACAGTCCTTCTCAGGACTATACCAACCTGGACGATCTACATATACAAACATGTAACGATACTCCCGGGTTCAAACCATTTACTTTAATACTATTTAGTTCTTTGTTAAATAACTTATTTTATGTATATGCTAATAGTTTGTATGTCAAAAACTGTGCAACACTGCGACGTGAAAAGTTTTTATTAATTTAGGTTCAATGGGTTATTTAAACCAATTTAAAACTTTTAGAAGTGGACATTTGAAGAAAAAGTAATTGGTTACCTTAAATCCATCAGTGGTACAATTTACAATTGGTTGAATTAGCAATTACAAGGAATCGGTTGTTACAACCAATTTAACTTGACCAATATATAATTGATGGAAATAATCTATTAAAAATTGGTAGTAATAACAAGTTTTTGATTGATTAGAACGACCAATATTCTTCTGGTACATTCAACCAATTTAACATTGGTGAAATTAGCTTATATATAATTGATTAGATTAATCAATTAACAATTAGCAAGAATAACACATTTTTAAATGGTAAGTAAACATATGTGAATGTTACATTTGACAAAATTGATATTGGTTCAATTAACGAATTATGTATTGGTAGCAACCAGTATCTTAAATTGGTCAAAAGATACAATGTTATAATTGGTTGTTTCAACCATTTATTTTTTAACCAAACAAAATTGGTTGTCTTAACTAATATTAAATTCTTTACCTCAGATCCACATTCAACCAAATTTTTTTGGTTGTTTTAACAAAACAGTTTAACAGTGTGCTAAACCAAAAATTGTGTTCAATTATCAAGTTTCGTCCAACACCAAAAAACAAAAAAAACAAAATTTGAATTTCGATTTTTGGATTTCATTTTCCCAATAAGTTTTTTTTTCATTTCAGCAGAAAACGAATGGCGGAATGGTACACGCATTCAATAAAAACGGTCAAAACAAAGCATTCTGAAAGCAAAAATGTCAATTATGGGGCGCCAAATGTAGTTATATTATTTATTGAACTTTTTTTGTGATCTATTTAATTATATATGTAAATGTTAATTGCATTTAGTAATTTGGTTATTTCAAATAACCATTTTAGTGACAACGTGCTTTAACCTCATTATATCAAATAACCACTTTTTATTTCTTTGATAAAACTTTTTTGTATCAAATAAGCAAAATAATTTTGATACACTTGGGGAAGCAACTGACAGCGAAGCAAAATACTAATTCAGATGTGCTGCTTTCCTCGGCAGAGTTTGTTATATAGTTTCTCGAACGGCTTGCTCTATAACATTTGTCAATGATCTTGTGAACTTTTCCTCTCCGCAGAGGTCATGGGTTCGAATCCCGTTGAGTCACCTGATTTTTTCAGGTCCTGAGACGATTGCTTAAATTGTCCAGCTAAGTGCGAAGATCATATCTTCATTTAATTTCAATTACCGCACTGCATAAAAACATTCATACGACATTCCTTTCACGAGAAAACATGAGCCCAACAATATTGACCTGCTCACCACTGTGTGACTTCATAGCTCAGTTGGTCAGAGCACTGCACCGGCACCGCAGAGGTCATGGGTTCGAATCCCGTTGAGTCACCTGATTTTTTCAGGTCCTGAGACGATTGCTTAAATTGTCCAGCTAAGTGCGAAGATCATATCTTCATTTAATTTCAATTACCGCACTGCATAAAAACATTCATAAAACCCTTTCTTTGTTAGTAAAATAAAAGAATCGTCCATAGAGTTCACAGTTTACAGAAAGCGTGAATAGAAATTTGAATTTCGAATGCTGATGGGCGATCGGTCGGAAAAACCGTTACTTTTCCGATAATATGAAAACTATAGAATAACGTTCATAAAATTTAGCAGCGCGATGGTGGCTACGAAAGTTAATGTTTTGAGGCCACAGCCAACGGACTATTACGTCATTTGCTTCGCAAGAGTATAAAAATTATTTTGGCTATTTGATAACAATTTTGCGAAAAGTGGTTGTTTGATATAAAAATTTTGCGAAAAGAGGTTATTTGATATAATGAAGTTAAGCACGTTGTCACACAAAATAGTTATTTGAAATAACCAAACTACTAAATTCAATTATCATATATAATTAAAATAAATCATGAAAAATAATGCGAAGTAAATTTCAATGGCGAAGTAAATTTCAAAGTTTTCTAGAAATCTTTTAAATGCATAACTGCAGAATTTGCGAACACTCTCAAAAGTGTAAACTGAAGCGCAATGCAACATGCAAAGGTCATAAAAGTACTGTGTCGATTTAAATGTAATAATATTCCATAATGACCTACAAATATAAATTAACTACTTTCCAGAGTAAATATCGTTAGTTTTGTAATTTGTCTTAGAGTTTCCAAGGTAGTTTTTCAAGCACGCTAAGGTAGCCAAACATTTTCAATGCGTTATCTACACATGAATACCATAAAGATCGCATTGATGGAATTTTTTTCACCATCACCGTCCACATCAAAACAGCTGACACGAAGTACGTAATCCAACGAACATTACGCAATCTATATCAGAAAATACACGGAAAATGTTTTCGATAATTCTGTTTCTTATTTATTTCAATAATTGTTATAAGGCGCCGAATGTGTTTTTGTTATTCAACTCACTGATAACATTTTTTTGCAATATATTTATTTTATTACATTTTATAATCAAAATCTCGTCAGCCGATGTAAAGTAATAACGTTAATAATAATAATTCTATTTCGTCACTGTTTAGCGTCACTAGAAAGTCATGTGAGATAGAACGCGCAATATGAAGATCAGTTCGATCGGTTACAAAAAGTTCATTTTCACACTATATTCCAAATCTTTGAATTATGGCTTCTACAAGTGAAAAGTATAACGACAAGAGATGATGTCGGAGATGAAGCAGCACTCCTGGGTTTTGCTGAACACGATTAACAAGATGACATGATTGAAGAAAACGAAGAAGGGCAAGTCACATCATGGAATTTGAATGTGGCAACTGCCCTTTGTAGGATGAGTGAAGAAATGACCCCAATGAGTGAATAGTGACTTAAAGAAAGTGACTACGGACAATCAACTATGGTTAATGCGCGTGGAATGGATCGAGAGATTGAAGCGTTGCGTTGTCACCGTAATAAACGTCACTACGGTGACTTTAGCGACGGTTTCTCGAAGTGTTGACTACGGGTGGAAGAATTCAATAGTTCTGTCGGGTAAGTCATTGTTTTTGTTTTCATTTTAATATGTTAAGACTTTAAAAGTTTTACAGAAGCACCACTGAAATACAAACACTAATGTACAATGATTTTTAGCTGCTGAACTTAAGATCACATCTACTTTCCATAAATGTAGAATTATAGTATGGCTCAATCAGACGATACTCCTTTAGAAACAATGTTAATAAACTATTTTGATGGTTTTTTTCAAAAGTTAATTTCGCAGTTGTGTACCTAAAACATGTGTTTACCTAAAATATGTTTACTTCTGACAAAAATATACCATATCAGATGGTGAAGTTTTTCTAAACTTTTTAACTGAGCTTTGATTTTTGAGTTTCTCACTTACGATTTGAACTAATTTCTTTTATTCTGTAGAGCAAAGAATCCTCTTACGACTCGAAACAAGTAAGAGCTGCAATGAACAAGTGATTCTGTTGAACTAAAACTGCATTACTTCTGTGCAATTCAATTTTTAATACATAATTATGTTCAATTTAAGCTTATGTTTACATTAGACTTAACAGTTAACTGTGTTTTATGGAATGAGGCAAAATAGGGTATTATTCGAACAGTACAACCTGAGTTAGTTTAAATCATGTGAGTATTGTTTAATACCACAATAGAGGTTTACCAAATTAATAACTGATTATCGTTCAAAAATGAGAAAAGAAGAAAATGCAAGTGGTATAACCTCTGACCCACCTTTACAGATAAATATACTTCTTGACAAAATTAATGAAGTAATGTTAAACCACGTTTAGAGTGATAACATAAGTGAGAAAAAGGAAAGAGCAAATGCCTTGGCAGTACGAAATGCAGCTATGAATACCTGAAGCAAAACCAAAGATGCAAAACCTAGTGAAGATGATTCAGATGAAAATGACGATGATGTAAATACAGGCAAGTTTAAGAAAGCTAAAAGGAGAAGTAGTAGTGATGCAGGTCAATATTTAAGAGAGAAGTCTGAGCAAGCCTTACTCATTCAACAACAAGAGTTTGAGATGAAAAAACAACAGGCCCCCTGGAAAGCAAAAGTTTAATGTGAAGGAGAAGTTATTTCAGCAAAAGCAGGATTAACTTGCATTGCAGCAGCAACAAATGAAGCAGCTTGATTTACAGCAAAGGCAACAGCAGATGCAATTGAAAATGCAAACAGCAATGTTGGCTGTCCTCGAAAAGCTATCAAAATGATATTGCAATGTACATGTATTCTGCTTAACATTTGTATTGTTGGTTATGTTCTGCCTTTTTGTTATCTTTATGACATTGAATTTGGCAAAATTTGTTATTTTTCTTGTAACTCAAATTTGCTTTTATTTCAACACAAAGCTTTTCTAGAGCATGCAATCATGTTGATTTTTGTTTAATGAAAACTTGTAAACTTGAAGTTCTATGACCATATACAAAACAAAGTAAGGTCAATACATGTTATGATAAGTATTTCTAAGTGTTTATGGTTGAACAGCAAAATAATCTGATGTTACATTTCCATAAAAACAAGTTAGTATGTTTCTAAATAATGTAGAGACCATGTATTGCTTTCTAACTACACTCAAGTCAATTTTAATGTTTATCTTAAAGTCTATAAATTTGAAATGTTGAAATGTCAACAAACAACCATTCCACAGAGACGCAAACCTCACTCATTGCTTTGCTAAATGCTCTCACTCTGAAGTGACAAATGCTACATCATCCTGTTAGTATGGGCCCATTTGATGATGTCGTAGTGGGTATGCTGGGTTACCAGAAATGTACAAGGGCTCACCAGTTGCATTATAAGCGATGTCATGCAGAGCACCCAGAACACCAGAATCTCTAAGCATCCCAGTGTCATGCCTCTTACCTTCAAGAGGACCAAATAGGTTTGCAATGATTGCACTTGGTAATGAAACTGCTTGAAACTCGAGGGCGTTCACTCGCTTGTAGGCATTATAAACTACTTTTTGACGTTTTCCAGGTCGACATACTGGTCGAACTGTTCCGTCAATAAAACCAAAAAAATTTTTGAGCGGTGCTCCTTTTGATGAGAGTCAGTGGAATTTTGCAGGCATTCCCTTGAAAGAAATGGTTGACTCCAGGAAGTCATTCGATCGTTGTGCACACGATACATCCAGTCTAGAACAGTGTCAGATATCATGTATAGTTCTGGAACAGGACGTGCAAACCCGTGAATCATGTCAGAGTAGCGACAGGAGTAATTTAATCTTTTCAGCAAAATGCACAAACCTTCCATGCAATAACACACAGTTTTCCTTAAGAACAGATAAATCGATGAGGAACCCCAAGATGTTGTTTGAGAAGTGGTAAGTTGGTCTTTTCAAAACGTAGCTCAGTTATGCATTCGTAGGGATCTAGATTTTCAAACCGAAATTTGTCGTATTTCCAGTATGGATATTTGGGATTGGCTGGTGTGAAAAGCTCAAAAACTATAACAAATTCTTCATCATTAATGATTTCATCAGCAAGAGCAATTTTCAAAATATCACATGGTTCTTTAAACGAAGGCATAGAAGCAAATGGAGGTAAGAGTTTGACCGTGGTCCGTGGTATTTGTTTGTTTTCTTAACGTACTCGATTCATTCCACGCGCATTTTTTTAACTGTAGTAGTTTGTTCGAAGTAACTATCTTAAAGTCACTAATCACTCAGGTTAATGCAGCAAACATTTGAGTCCTCTAGAGTAAAATCTACTCGTAAGAGGAAAGCAAGTGCTTTATCCCCGAATCAGGGCATGACGCAGATTGCGAAGTCTTGTTGACACAAAACGAAGAACCTGCGGCCAAGCGCAGTTATGAAGCAGAACAACTAGCAGTAGATATTGCTGACGCAGTTGTACGTACAAAAAACTCTGTAACTGCTTGCTGTTTTGTTCAATAAAAGGCAGTTTTATGTATATACTCTCTGTTCGAATACTTTATAAATCAAAATCATGAGCTACTACACGCTTCTCCCCCCAAAATTAGGGACGTTTCAGGGGTTTTGGGCACTCTGACTTTGAGTTTCCCGGGCGTAATGTACGGTAAGTTGCCTTTTTGATGGCTGGAAATGGATAAATCGATCTCCTCAAGTCAAACCAGGGTAAATTACCAAAGACAATGACCCGGCTTTCAGAGGCCATACATGAATAAAGATGGCGGTAGTCATCAATATGCACGACTTACAGGCAGATTAATCACAACGAACCTAGCATATGCTTAACAACTGATACCTTGTTGGAGGAGTGGGGCTGCTCCCTAAATGGTTTGTGAGCCACGGGTAACTGGACGCCCTTTGAGGCTTCCAATCATAAAAATTATTTGGAAATTCTTGCAGTGTTGTTTGCCCTTGAGTCATTTTCTTCGGAACTAAAAAGCCATCATGTTAAGGTATTAATATAGATAATACTACCGCTGTAGCTTGCATTAATCAAATGCGCACATGCCACTCAAGTTCTATTCACAAGTTGCCATGTAAAGTCTGGACCAGCTGCACTTCGTATGATGTTTGCTTGACACCAGCGCACATTCCAGGAATACAAAATGTCACTGCGAATCGACTCTGTTCACGTGTGCCATTCAAAAACTAGACGTAAATTCGAGCATTGATTTGTTTGCGTTAAGGTTGAACAATTAGGCGAAACCCTATTTTTCATACCAATCTGACCGGCCTAAACCATACATTTTATGCGTTCCGGTCCTTTAGCATGATTTCGCAGGTGTTACAAAAAATAGTACAAGAGAAAAGCACAGGACTAGTCTTAGTCCCTAACTGGCCAACACAAAGTTGGTGGCCAGCTTCAATTCAGATGCTATTAGCACATCCTGTTGTTTTACCTAGAGGAAAAACGACATTAACTCTTCCAGCTCATCCAGATCAAATCCACCCTCTCAACACAAAATTGGAGTAACTACTTTGCCATTTATCGGGGAACTCCTCTCTGATAGAGGCATTTCAACAGAGGCTTCTCAAATCATCCCCGCGTACCAAGAAGCAATATTCTACATACCTTAACCGTTGGCGACAATATTGGAACGTAAACAAGATCGATTCTGCCGCGTCCTCTGTAGAGAGACTTGTTTGCGATTTAGTTGTAAAATTTGAGAAAACTACGATATTACTACGTAAATATAGCAATTTTTGCTAAAAGCGCGCGTACGCGCGCAAAATTTTGAAAAAAATACGTTTTTTAACGAAAATGTAGTGCAAATTCGCTATTGATCTCAGGTGCGCAGCTTACAAACTTTCCAGTTGGCACAGAGTACATAATAAGAATAGTATTTCCAATGTGCAGGAGCAATATGCAATCTGAGAATACCGGCCAATTTAGTACAGGTAACGTCTAGTAGCTTAACTTAAAATCAAACAAGTCGTGTATATAGTATTCAATCGTGTTTCCTGTTCGGATTGGTTGGCGTGGTCATTCATACTCATGTATAATGAAAAGTCGGAAAAAATATGATCTTCGGAAGGTAATCCAATTCCTTAAAATGATTTTCTCAAATAATTGCATGTTGTGATCAGAGACAATAACAAATATTCAAATAAATCAGTAAACTTTGTAGTAGCTCTATAGCATGGAAAGACATGTAAACAAACAAATCAAAATGATCATTTGTGTTAACAGATGCTAAGTGCCTTAAAGATACTTTTAACTACCCCAAACCCTGTAATATTTTGTCTTTATGGTGCATAATCATCAAAAAGTAAGATAAATATCATCTTTGGATGTTTAACGCCGCATTGAAATTATATTTTTATCCAAGATTGCACGCGTTCCAATTAAGTTACATTTGAACTTCATATAACGCAAGGAATTATTAACGTCAATTAATTCCTTTCTTAATCATCTCTTCCATATAATTTGATTTTATTTACGTCGCTTAGCCTTCTATTAATGGCCCAAACTACACATGATGTTAAGCCCAAATGCCCGAATGGCTAAGGTTTGGGGGCACAGCGCCCCGTACCCCACAGCCCGTACGCCCATGTTGAGCTATCAAAAATCTCATCATTCGATCACTTCAGCGACCATTTCCCGATGGTTAAAATAGGTTTACAGTGCACACCGTACTCGAACTAAATCAACTTCTGCGGCAAATGCATTGAATATTACTATGGACACAATTATGAATGTAGCTACATGGAGTAATGAGTTTACTTTTCAAACATTTTATAGTAAGCCAATTGAGGCAAAGAACTTTGGCAATGATCTACTTTCTGCCATTTGTGAGACATGAAATGTGAAATTTCAATTACATTCTTTTGTTTTTAGTTATTGTTCCTGTCGACATTGCTTTAAAATCTCACATGACTTCCTAGAAAATTAAACGAGACTTATCTGATCGAAGTTTGATTGAAATTGAGTTCCTGTTGAGTTCCTGTTCAGGAACCAGGACGTCACCCATCCAACTAATTACTTGCTTCTTCTCAAATGATGCTAAATATTGCCTCCCACTCACAAATTTTTAAAACTGATCTTCATGTCGTGCGCTCTATCTCACATGACTTCCTACTTCCTGAACAGTAATTCATAAAATTTCAATCAAACTTCGATTTCAGGTAGGTCTCGTTTTATTTTCCAATCAAATAACAAAATTTTACCAACACAATTTTGTTAGGTGATGTCAAATTGATAATTAATGAACTTAACGCCACTTGGTTATATCAAATAATCAGATTCGTCGATATGATTTAATTTCGTTGTCTTAAATAACAAATACAACACTTGACATCTTTTTACACACTGCGAGCAAAATGACGTCACAATTGTATGAACACCTACATTCTGCTTCCCTGTGAATAGCCATGTGGCAATGTATTGCCTATGACTAGTCTTGAATTCACTCATTTCACAGTAACATAATTCACGTACTCTCATTGTAAAACTTGTCGTTACGTTATCTATCTTGCGGTAAAGCGTCCTCTTGTATTGCCGTGTCTGGTCTTGAACAAAGTGCTCTTGCAATTGTTCTTTCAGTTTATTCATATTTCACGAACATTGAAAGAGCTTGTTGTCTTGCATATTAGCGGACACTGCTTTTGTTTCTCATGTGGCATTTATAGTGCAAGCGTTATTAATGTTTATTATGATTACCGCTAAAAACAAGGCAGTGCTATTTCAATAATATGGACATAGCAGAGCGTTACATTTTCAAAAGAATAAAAGCTGCGCTAAGATTAAATTGATTGTTGAAATACATTGTCTAGTTGCTAATAAATATATTATTTTGGGCACTTATACTCACAGAGTTAACTTAACTTAACTCCACGTGCTAGCTTGAGCATTAAACATATGCTTGTTTGCATGATGAATATAATAAAAACGCATACCACAAGCACATTGATTATCCGTAAATGAAATATGAATAAACTGACATAAAATTGCACGAGCAATGAAGTTTTACAGTGCAAGTATATGACAGTGAGTTTAAAACAAATGATTGTATAGATTGCCTTTTGACTATTCAGGAGGTAGTAGACTGTAGATGTTCATACAGTTGTGACGTCGTTAAGTGTAAAATTATTTTGGTTATTTGAAATAACCAAATTAACACATGTGAACAAAATTGGTTCTTTGACATAACCAAAAGGTGACAAGTTTATTATTTGATATCATATAATGAAATCATGTTGGCAAAACTTTCTAGTATGATATAATTACGTTACATCGGCTAACAAGATTTTGGTTATTCATATAATATAAAAAAAAATTACGAGAAATATCCTTGTTAGTAAGTTAAATAATGAAAACTCATTCGGCGCCGCACAATTAATAATAAAACAATGAATATTTATCAATAAAATGTAATTCCATAACACTATGTCTTATCCACATGACTAAATAAATATAAATACGAACTGCAAATAGCAACAAACCTTTTAAATCTTCTTTTAGCAGCAGTGAGATCCGATGGATCCTCTTTCAGCAAATATTTTTTAATACCAATGACGAAGTCCCTGAAGTAAGCATCCCATTCAATACGGCGAACGTCAAACATAAATTCCTGGCAAAGTTAAGAAATGCAATGAGAAACATATAGTAATATGAAATAGCTATTAAACGTCGCTAAACAGCACTTTACAAATGATGAAACAACAACATATTTTAAAAGACATCAATGAAGAACAAGAGTTTCAGTCATCGATGTACCACATGTGCATAACACATCTTAAATGGGTATATATAATCCAAAACGTACCTGACGATCTGATCCCTCTAGTTCGTCCAAAAGTAGGTCGTAGTTGTCCATCTTGAACTGAAGAAATCAATAAAATGAAATTTATCATGTGGGTCTCCCCGAAAGTGATACACTTCCCAAGAAGTATATGGTTTTATAATTTTCATCGATTTGATAAAAAAATTCCAAGTATGAAAAATAAAATATACAGATTGCTAAGCCTCACTAAAAGTTTATAATATATCTGGCGCACTTGCTAATCTGGGTAGAATAAAAATATCTAAAAACATTCAATATGTAAAAACCTATTTTATACTTGAAATAAGCATTTACTATCAAGTTACCATAGATGCCCGCAGATCAAGTTGGGAAGATAATCTTTGAGGAAACAGGTGTCCCAGGAAATTTGCTTCCCCCCCGAAAAAACTGGCCTCCTCCAAGAGCCATATTTCCTACTAAATGTGCTCCCCCTCTTCGAAAATTTCCGCCCTCTCCCTTTACAAACTTTAACTTTTATTTCGAAAATGGTGGAATATCTTGAATGATCCATACAATCATTTCATACACACATTCTGCAAACGCATTTAGTTAACACAAAAAATCTGTCAATGTTGCAAACAGTATCATCAAAAGCACAACAAAGAAAACAGCGGACATGTAACAATTGTAAATTCCAAAGAAAAAAAAGAGCTATTACACGTAAAGTAAAAGAAAGAGTGCTGATGTTGCCAACAGTAGCAAATTTGTGACAATGGTACCATAAAAACACACACCAATTTGAGCCAAATTCCTAACTGAGGAAGAATAGCTTTGCAAGTCATGTAGTCATGTGCACCGCTTAGTTAAATGAACTATTTAATTGTTTATGCAATGAACTTTGAACCCCCTTTTTTTCCTTGTTAGCTAAAAATCTAAAGTTTTAGATTCAATTTGATAAACAAATGAGCATTTTCTGTTGAGTAGAAGTTATTAAAATTTACTGCTGAAAATTTTCTGATTTTTGAGAAATGTTTGAATACTTTATATGATACTTTTCATGAGTCGTTAGTTTTATTCTTAATATTAATCGTTAACGTATGTCATCATCGCTAAAGTGCGATAGTTATTCTGACTAGTTTGATACTATGTGACTAAATGTAGATATCTAAATAACTTGTTTCACAACTTAAATTGCCTGTGATCTTGGTGTTTGAAAAAGTTGAACTATAGAAATTTGTCCTGGGGGACATTTTGTTTTGGGGAGATTTCCTGTGACCAGTGACGTAGCAAGACAAAAACAACTGGTCGTGCAGTAGCGAGAACGAACATGAAGTTCCAGTACAGTTGGTGGCAACATAAGTTGTCTGTGCTGCCGGTTATGTACGCTTACATGTGCGACTTTGATATTTCATGCTTTTGGCAATCGCCCAGTAAATTATGCATGTTGACATAATCAATTTGAGTCAATGTAGTGGACTTTGAACAAAACAGCAAATAAAGCCAACAAAATAACCGCTGCTTCTCCACACTAGCGCACAACCAATCTTTCTTTTTGCACAAAGACCATCGGAACCCCTTATCTCTCGTTTTCAGAGTAAGCATAGGGGTTGGTCGTGGCACACATACAAAATATTTTTACTGTATAGCGTGGCGTGGACTGACAATCCTTCGTAAAAGCTCAGAAACAATATTTCTGGCTCTTTGAGTTTCAGATGCGACGTTTGACTGTCCTTCATTGATTTCCATGTTCACACACAAAAATAAATCTAATAACACAGTAAAACGATGAATAATTCGACAATATTTGAAATACTCATGCTACTAAACTTGGGCACGAGCAAAAGAAAATATTCGGCGATTGAGCATGCGTACGACTCAATGCAGCCTTATATATTATTAGTAATTCATGTTTTGGTTGTTTTCGCGTGATCAGAGCACGACCAAACTGAGGCTGACTATACCAATTTTAACAGGCCGTGAGGTTTTCTAGCCAACCAGCGCTTAGGAATATATAATTTGGTCGTGCTGGCCTGACTAGAGCACGACCAAAAACGGGCGAATACTGTTTCATGTGCTTTTAGGCAATGATTAGGGCAGATGTCGGGGAGAAACGTCATATGGTGTAAGTAATAAGAAGCCTTCCAAAATGCAAATAAAGCATTAAAAATAAATTTTGTCTTCGCTAATATCTGTTAACATTATAAACAAATAGTGAAATTTTAGTGGGTTAAAAACCTTAGTTTGAAAAATGTTTGGGACGACTAGGACGACCTCTAGCTACGCCGCTGCCTGTGACACCAGCAACACAATTTTCAACGAGGGGGAACTCTACCTCACATATAAATTGAACTCCTATAAAACTATTTTTGAAGAAATGGGTAAACTCAATTCTAAAATTTGATGCCTCAATTTGTACAACTTTTTTTAAAAGGGTAGTATTTTTTAAGATCTTAGATCTGAAAATTTATAAAGCTGATTCATCAGTGCAGTTTTTACAGCAGACGACCGTATGACGTCGTCGCATTAACGTTCGTTGTTCGCTGGCAGAAACTGGGCCGACACAAGCCTCTTAAAAAAGTCCAATTTTTTTCTGTTTTTTTTATAAGATCAATTTTATTAGGCATAAAATTTTTCCTTGATTTGGTGTAAAAATTGAGAAGTTCGCATTCAGCACAGTTGGCAGGACCGAGAAATTTTAAAGAACAAAAAATCTAATTACAAGATATTTTGCAAAATCTGAGTCATTATCAGTCTTAAGAGCGTGTCTTTCTTTGTTGAAGAGAAAATGATAAGGTCAGCCAAAACCAGTTATTGTGTCAATAAATAGGTGGTGATGCCAGAATAGTAATAGCAAGTAGTAAAAACAAAGAGATATAAAACCACGCACTATGATCCAGCACACAAGCTAATGAATAGCATTGCTAACTCTAAAATGCACATAGGAACTTAAAACGCACATAGGAACTTAACAATGATGCCTTCAGCGCTAGTTTAAAACAAATAAAAACCAATACCGTCCATTCTCTTTTGGTAAAATATCCAAGAGTTGTCATCGCTTTTTCCAATTTAACATAATTCTTTTGCATTCTACAAAGTTCAAACCATAAATGTAGGTTTGTGAAAAGGTGCCTATGTTTCTAGAAATATGGGGGTGATGCGGCGATAGACAAGTTAACGGTTGTGAAATACAGACTGTATAAAAAACACTAAACAGTTAAGAAAATGTTGCTAAATTCATCAGCACGCAAGATTCGCAAAAATTTTGGACGAAATAGATAATTGGACTCCAGATGAGGGTTTCTCTGACAGTAAAATTGTCGCAAATAGCTAATAACCATTTTTATAAACGTTTTGAATTTTGTTTTTGAACGACGCTTTTTGATTCACCCTGTATAATACAAAGGATTTTCTTTCGATTCTTTTCGTTCACTTGACTTTGCTGATAGTCGAATGTTCGTAATTGAAAAGTAAGAAGTATTGTTTAGCACAAGAAGTTAATGGCACAAGCAAAACCATGAAACACCATATGTTATCTACTACTCCAATCGTGTTGGGTAAAGGGCATAAATAACAAGACACGAAAATTCGTGCGCCTTATTGAAAAATAGATGTGGATTATAAATCTAAATACCTTGGCTTCTGTCCAATGAATTTTGCCAAGATATCGGCAATCCATGCTGGAATTTTGTGACTTATATACGTATAATACGTAAAGGCAAGCCTAAAACAATGTAAGATTCAAGAAAGAATATGATGGATATATATAATAACTATTTAATATCAAATATACAAAATACCAGTTCAAATAGAGCAATACAACTTTCAATTATAATTATACAATATTTTAATAAGAACTACACTGTGTTTCACGTTCAACGACCATTATCAGATGAATGAACACGATAAAACTACAGTTCACTTAATTATTGAAACTATATGCACTTATTGCTTACGCTCATTACTCAAATTTAAAATACTAAACGCGCGAAAAGTACTACGCGTAAATTCTTTCCTGTGACGGCACTTTGCAAACATCTCCGATCTTTTGTTCAAAAGAGACTTATGGCTTGATTTCATAATATCAATTTTCTCTTCTACACACAGACAACATGACTTGAAATGCGCCCAAGTAGCCAAGAAAAGCAGGAAGTAAATTATTATCGTGACGTGACGTGATGGACGAGAAACATAGTGTAGAGAATTATATGAAAATTTTTTTCGATGACAATTTAAAGTTATGTTGATTGAACATGCGGTGAACATTGTAGACTCAACATATATAGACAGCATTTGCTCACAATGTTGATGAGTGTTGAAAGGCATTAACCAGTGTTGAGCGTTGTTGAGAGAAGTTTGAATTACCTCAAATATTCCACTCAACAGCGCTCAAAATCATTTTTTGTCCCGTGGTCACCAAAGTTAGGAGAGCAAAAAAAACGTACGCTCGTATGCTAAAAGCTCACTCACACTAACACTTACGGAGTGATGCTTTAAATTCACCTCCTTAAGTATTCGAAGACAGCATTTTCATTCCACCAATTGTTTGATTTGAAGTAGAGCAAAGCTTGCCATCAATGCACAAATAACTTTGTCATGATTGACAGAACGTGATTTTTTTGTCGCATTCAGTGAATGAAAATATGAGTGTGAGTGAGATTTTTTAACGTGGGCGGTAAAAGTAAACTTAGCTAACAATATAGGACAACATAATCCATAAAAATCAACTATGGTGCCGAAGGAGAGAGAGAGCTCTATCGAATACTTTAACAAAAGTAATTATGCAGCAATTAGCTACAAGAGTCCTTTTAACAGATGTTGACATATGCTTCGGTCAACAGAGCATTATATTTAGATTAACAAAAGCTTGTTTGAGCAATGTATAAACTAGCTTGATGTTCCATAAAAGAAATGGACAAAAACAGAATTGAGAGACAACATATTTTCAATTAAATTATAAACTTACTCCTTTGCTTCGAAAGCAAAATTTGGCCGTCTGAACACTTTCTCAAACGGATATTCCCACAAATAAGGAGATACAATACGACCTGTAAAACAAAGTTCAATTTTGTTATGAGTTAAAATTGAATGACCAGTGGTTGTCTAAAAAATGCCAAAAATCACGCGCAGTTTTAGAAATGCAGTGACAACTACATGGTCGACAACGAGTTAATTAATCGAGTTGCTGCTCAACGTAAATTATTCAGTGGCCAGAGTATATGTAAAATTTGCATGACTCTTGATATTTGAAAAAATGAAAGAAATTGTTGATCATTACACACAAAGTTGCATCAAATTAAAATCAAATTTATGCATAATTGACAAGGATTAGAAAAATGCCATTAATAATCCAAGACAACCTGAGATTTGGAAGATGAGCGTTCGCGTACGCATTACCCAAATTTCCTGAAACTTAACTAGCTTGAACAACACGTTCAATATTACATGTTTGTAAATGATGATCGTCAAGGTTGGTATAGTCCTGAGAAGGACAGTTTTTGTTGTTATTAACTGACGTTTCGACAACCTTAGCGGTAGTCATCTTCAGAGTCAAATTAAACTCATTTGACTCTGAAGGTGACTACCGCTAAGGTTGTCGAAACGTCAGTCAACAACAACAAAAACTGTCCTTCTCAGGACTATACCAACCTGGACGATCATCATTTATAAACATGTAGCGATACTCCCGGTTTCAAACCATTTACTTTATTACGTTCAATATTTTAACACTATGTGTTTAATAGGTTTTAAGCAGTGTCATCTTTGTGCGGAAACTATTTCAAATGTACTTCTTGGTGACTAAATTCACATCTAAAAAGGGTTGCTACATTTGCAAGAATTTTAGTGTTACAAGCATGAACTATAAGATGTCCAAGTATCTATCTCCACCAAATATTTTTGAAAATCTTGTGCGATGATGAATATAGTAACGTTTTCCTAACTGTACATTTTTTATACACGCTGTAGCTATATTTTACATGCATTTTTGAGAGACTATAAATACGTTATTAGGCAACTTTTTTAATACTAATTCATTTAATAGCTTTACGGAAACACACGACGTCGAATAGACGTAGATGATATAATATCCAGGATATATTTTCGATCAAGTCTAAAATCGCAATATTCGATGTAATGCACAAGGCATGTAAATCTAAATTTTACAAGGGAAGCTCACCGATTCAAGGTAAATTAATGAAATCATACGGTGAAGTCTTACACGCATTGACAGGTAACTACGTTTCAAGTTTTAACTATAACAAGCACGAATTGCGTAAAACAAACCCCCAATGTACAAAGCAAAAGAAGAGCTCTGTGGTATAAGGCACTCCCTCGCCTTCACAGCACTGGTTCAGCAGCTCTTTGGAGAGTTTTTTTACCCTTTAAAACGTAAGCGAGTATTTTTTGAATAATAAACAATCTCCCCCCTGTTGTTAAACGATTTAAGCATCGTAATTGTCGCAAAGTTCGAAATATGCAAATATCAACCCTTTATGACTTTGTAGTTTCGCACAAATTTTCAAGTCAAACACAAGCCCGAAGAAAATAAGACAAATTCTACATTATCTTTTGTTATAGATGCATTCGGCACACGCAATACTCGAGAAACACTCCCGCAAGTTGCATCAGAACGAAAGTCAAACGTAAAACTTGTTAAAGAGAAAGTATGGAGAGTAGAAACAGGTTACAACATCGGAATTTTCAAAATTCAAAACAAGGTAAAAATACGTGATTATAAGGGGGAACTAAGTACGTAATTATAAAGACAATAAGTATTAATAGACAACAACATCGTATTTTAGATTCTACACAAAAATACATGCACCAATTTATCTTACCTAAATCACCCCATGTGACAGGATTTAACAAACCAGTCGTGCAATGAAATATCGGAATGTTTTGTGGTCTATAAGATAAGTAAGTAAAAAGACATTACAAGTTAATCTCAAACGCAATGACAACATCAAACCGCATAAGTGCATAGTTTGAGGACATCGTTTGAGGACATCGCTAAGCCCAGAATCAAAGAAAACGTTTAAGGGGCTGAATACATGAGCCCCGGTAGCCGGGATTAGGCGAAGCGATGAATGATTTTTGCCAATGGAAAAGATAAATACTTATCATCAGATAAATCTTCTTGAGCATTTTCAGAATGTTCTGATTTCATAAATACGCAAAGCATTTAAAATGTTTTCATTTTGGCATACTAATTTGGCATAATTTGAGAATTACAACAGGAATGACGAGTAGCGCTTAACAAACAGTTGTAATTTTTCCGCTTGAAGTTTTGACTCTTTTTAATGCTTCGAAATCCTTTCACGTCTCGCTGAATCTCGGTTAGACAGGACCATTTAAACAGCCTCTAAAAGCTAAACTGCATTTTCTCCTTTTACGTCACATCCGATGCAAAGTCACGTAATTCTTGGCCAAAAATCCAATGAATATCAAATTTTCGACCAACCAAACGAACTGCAAGTGTTCTTACAATCGATTGAACTATCTAAAGAGGTTATTTCCCTGACCCTAATTTGGCGCTTTAAACACAAAATTCATAACTATTTATCATAAAAACGATAAGAACGAGCTTCGCACATGCGCTCAATTACCTACCGTTTAGTACCAGTATACCAGCCAATACACACCATCATGTTAACTGCAATGTCCACGGGAATAATATCCGACACAGCATTCACATCACCGATCATTGACCGCAGCACACCTTTACCAGCCTGAAAATATGAATGAAAATTAGTACGGAAGCACCAAACTTTTTTGGACATACATAGTGCATGAATGACACATATGTTAACTAGAGATCTAAGGATAGTGCAAAGTTTCAAAAGACAAATGTAGTTCAACATTCCAAATAAAAATCGTTGCGATGACTTATGCCTAGCTATGCCGCTTTAAAGGCTGCAAAAGTGATATTAATTTTTAAAAGTGTTTTACTGAATTCATTTGAGAAGAGCATGCTCCGAACTGAACAGTCCTGCTTATGGCACAATCATTCGTAGTAGTATTTTTAATTGCAATTACAATTTGTGCATGTTTCTTTGAAGTTTTTATGGAGCAATATTGCCAACTTCAGCTTCACACTTCCGGGCGAAGGTAGCCTTAGTTCAATGGGCGAGACGTTCATATAACGCGTTAACTTGATCTTGAGGTGTTGAAAAATCGTTTGTTTATGTTGCAAACAGTCAAATAAATGTCTTAGTTGATGTGAGTTAATGTGAATGAGAATTTATTCTTTCATAATCTGTAATGCATTGGTAAGACATCACCAAATAACTGACAAATGTAAAATGAATGTTGTTGTAGACACCCCAGACACCATGTATGACTCACTTGAATTTTTACTCATCAAAATAGCGCATGGAAACTTTGCACTAAAATTCAATTTTGAATTCACGAAATGAAGGTCTGGATTCTTTTTTACAAAGTATGTAAAAAAGATACAAACATATATGCGACTGATCCTACAAAATCATATCTTTAAGAATACAATAAAATTTTCAAACGAACTTTATCAGAAGTCTTCAAAGTGAACATGTCACAAATCTATACGTAAATAGAAACTTTATCATCTTATTCAAACAGGTTTTACTGCGGACATGTGGACTAATGAAACAATCAACGTTTCCCAAAATGAGTTAAATTAAATTTCATTCATTGAGAAAAAAATGAAAAATGTGCCCAGTTGATAATCAGTTGAATCATGAGATTCATCATCAACTACAAGTTTCTCACTGAAAATGTGTACATTTAATTGACTGGTATACTTTTACATTTACTTAAAAAAACTAGAAGTTAACCATACCGCCACGAACAAGCCACTAGGACCATTGAAATTGTCAATCCAGCCCTATTTAGAATAAAACAAGGTCATTATTAAAAAAGTCAAAAGTGCAAACAAGATAATAGATGGATTTTGCAAACACGACGTTTCGTCTAAGACGTCGTAAATTTTAGCGAGCGATCTGGGTCTAGGACGCCACCAAGTCGTAAAGTATTTATGATTTAGCAGACTTTTTGTTGAACTTCGTCGAAGAATAGTATTAAACAAGTTTCATCCATTTCAAAATTTTTCTGCTGCATCATTTTTTCTATCATTTTATACTAACTTTTTTAGCATAAAAAACATACTGCAGTATACTTATTTTAAAATAAATATAAGCAAAAGCAAAATCTTCGACATGCGGCTTTGTGACTAAATTTGTTTAGACTCCAAGGAAACCCCCAAAATTAGAGCAGACCCCTCGTTTTTTTTACGTTTTTTACGCTTTAGGAATCAAACATTTGCAGGATTTAATTAAATACATATTTGTAGGCCTTATAATCTTTTGAGATGTAAATATTAAAGGTATATCCTTGTTCCAGCTCAAAAATTGAGTTTGTTTCAGTCGTCGTTGATAAGACGTCAAATTGTATGTTTTCACGTCTTAGTCGTCAAACGACTGCCGTCGTAGATTGAAGCGGAAGTAAAAGGCGCATGCACGCCATTTTTACAACGTCTAAAGCCTGTTTTCCACTAGCCACGTATCGTAACGTATCGTAGCAAAACGTAACATGGCGCTTGAATTTGATGGTCAATAGGCACAAGCACGCATGCGCCATGATACGTTTCGTTACGATACGTTACGATACGTGGCTAGTTGAAAAAAGGCTTTAGACGAAACGTCGTGTTTGCTAAATCACTCCAATGCTATTTATAGGCCAAATAAAGCTAGTGGCTCTATTGTTGAAGTAAGAACTGTACAGGATGTCACTGATCAATTAATAAATACACAAAAAAAAATTCTTATGTTTGTGATGGGAAATCTTTGCATCATTTACATTTATAAAATTGCAACAATACAACGAGTGCGCTGATTGGTTCATATTGTTATATACAAAAGAAATAAAACATGTTTTTCGTGTTAGCGCTGGCTTATGCAAACCTCAAAGACATTTGTGAGAACTCTCAACCTTACGTGGGTGTCGGGCTTGCACTGATATGTTCTCGAGTTCTCCCTGTGCAAACAGAGTAAGCATCTTTTATTTCTTCTGGCACGTCACATGATTAAAAACAGAGGCGCTCTTACAAACAGAGGTCACTTTATTTCTAATTAGTTTTGTTGTCGAGAAAAAACATAATAAAAAAAGAAACGCCAAATGACAAAGAAAAAACAAATTTGTTGTTTCGTTAATATGAAATGAAAGCCCAAATACTGGGAAAAAAACATATTCTTGTCTGGAACAAATAATGAAAAAATCTGAAGAAATTTATCGATTTCGATATTTCTAAGTTATTCCTCATCTTTAATGTTTGCATTCATACATGCGATGTACATTCAAAGATAAAGATATTTCTTATTTTTGGTCTCGTTGCGTTTTACTCATAACTTATTCTTAAAGAAATTGTAGTTTCAAAAAATTAATGACGGACATAGACCCAAAGTTGTATTACGAGCTTGAAAAACAAAGGCTTTAGTTTTATCATGCTTGGGATCATGAAATGGAATTACCAAGCAATATGTCGCAATAGATTTTGGTGATCAGCAACATATACATACCGGCATTGGTTCTCTGAGGCTGGCACCAACAATAGATGGGCGAAATACAGCGATTGGCATGTCATATTTGCGCTTGAACAACAAGGACTCTGCCAAAGACTTTGTAAAGGTATATGTGTTAGGTCTCTTTTCCAAAAGAGCTGGGGTCACTTCTTTGATCATACCATCATTCATCCAACTAAAATGGAGACATAAAAAATACAGGCCGTCGCTCAAAAAAAAAAGGCATACATTATCACACGTAGAGATTACTAATTTCAAGTAAAACATAAGCGCAATGCAAAATAGATAGATACCACAGCACAAGAAGAAATGAAGTAGAATGACCACAATCACTTAACATGCAGGTGCATTCTTTGCTCGCTGAACAGCGAAAGTCGAAGTTGAAATAGCAGATAACAGCGACAGCATGCTTTAAGGTAGAACGATAGAAAATACGTTTAAGGAATGATACAGAAACCACAAGAAATTGTTCAGTAACATAGAATAACAACATGGAACTTTCAAAGTATGTGTAGAAATTGAAGGAATGCAACAAAAATTTTCAAATTGAAATGGTCGATTTTATCCCAGACGTAATCCTCCAAGTAATATTCGAGCATATGTACTAGCAAGACACTTCAAACCTTCGTCATGATGAAAAAATCTTTCTGACAAGCAAAGTGAACTGTTCACAAAATGTATTTAGTCAACATTCCAGGCGTGACGTTTAAAAATTGCGCGTCAGTAATCAACAAGAAGAGGAAAGAAACAACCGTTCTCGTAATTTTGTATAATTTAGCTAATGCCTGAAGATTGGCATGAAACTCTGAATAGCAATATTTTAAGTATTTTTATTGTATTACACGTAATAAATGATACACTTTGTTTTTTAACAAAAATTTAAAGCTTCCATAACGTCAAATATTTTTTATCGCGAAATGAAATCTAGGCATTGTTTTTACTACTTTCGCGAAAGCAGAAATTCATTTGGTAAAATCGTTCAATATTTGTCGCGATTTTTATTTAAAATTTGATGCCCCACGGACGTCGTGTTTTCGGCAAATAGACTGGCTCTAGCTTTGTTTATGATGTCATGCAAGAGAGTCCGGAGACCGCAATGTTTTGATGTTATTTGCGGTAGACAAAGTGTGATCAAATTTGAAGGCTAATTCATAATTTCTTTTATTTTCAATGGCATTTCGTGGTAGTCATATTCCTTATAAGTAGCTCAATATTAACTTTACTTCGGGGAATACTATTTAAGAGACTGAAGACAACCACTACGGACAGTAGCGAGTGGTCTAGCAGCATACGCGAGACGAAGCTTGGGCAAACAAAAATTGTTAGTAGGTTACAAACAGCATATGAGAAAACGCCACCACGCGTTAAAAGTGATACCAAATGGACAAATTTGTTCTGTAAACGTAAGCGAGTGGTTATTGTAATCTGCATTATACAACAAGGTCGTCTGAATAATAAACAATGTAGCATTTTGATAGACTGCATGAAGTTAACAATTCTATTATTTCAAACGGATTGTATACGATTTACTTTCTTATCATCATAGAGGCAGCATTGAAAAACGGCGCTCATAATCTTTAAGCTTCAAATGAAGCCTTCAAAATTGTTAAAAGACACGTTTTGTTTTACCTTTATACCAAAGTCAACTGATATTCTTCGTCGCCTCTTTGCCTCTCGCCGCTTGTTGCTTAGGCACACTTTATTTGTCAATTTAGCAGCTAGACAACTGTTCCATCCGCAAATACTATTTGTTTCTTATCAAAGTATTGAACGCAAAAGGTATGTAAAGAATACTATAAATATAGACTATAGTCGATGACTCCCTTGGATGACGTCAAAAAATTTACTCGTTTTAGGCTTCTGCTACGTGCCACGGACCTGATCCACTCAAAATACGCTTCTGGCTAACTTTAAAGCGCGATAAAAATTGAACGATTAAACCAATTGAATTTTTGTTTTCGCAATTATACTAGAAACGATGCCAAGATTTCATTTGGAAAAATTTTTTGTTATTTGTCATTCTGTTATTTGAGTTTGGATCAGTTAAAGCGGTGCACCGATCGTTTTCATTGCGGTACATTTCCGTATTACTGTTATTTAAAATTGTTTTAAAATGAAAATATTTCTCATGCCAGTTTTTAAATCAACCGCTTGGAGTTTTAATAATGCTCCATATAGCTACCTATTCACGCCCGTTTACCAAAGGAGTTAGGAACCATAGAAATGTCTCAATTAGGTACTCTAGTTTTAACAAGCGCTTAATATTCATAGAAATAACTTTTACAAGCAAATCAATCTTGTCTAATCGATGCTATTTTCGAGTAGACAATCTTTCTCTTCCCGGATATTAGCTATATACACATTTTGCTAACTGTCGGATAACGGAGCATACAAATTTCGAAGGAAATACTACATTACAAATTAAAACATATGCTGGCGCAGATGCTCAAAAATAAATGGGCAGCAAATGACCAAAAACAACATTTCATGTCGATTAAGTTCCAAACTTACTAGGTTATTTCCAACACGTTTTTTGCATCAACTGACGGTGGATAGTATTTTTCCTCAATATAATCTCTGTCACAATTGGAGTAGGCTGTCGAGACGTGAATGAACGCCTAAATGAAGACAGAGAAATTTTTCAACAATCGTACATTGATCATACAGTTTCCAAGCTCAGTGATAGGAAGTTTTTACAAGAAACTAATTGTAAATAGCAGTTAAGGTAAATTGCAATTTCTGGTAAACATTAAGAAAACGTCGCGACATTTTAAAAGTGTTGAGATCAAGTAATAAGTTAACCGTAAAGTTTGACTTTTAAATCACCATGCAGTACAAACGGGAACATTGACAGTTATAACCAATCAAAAGGAACATTGTGGTATGAACTATACAAACCTCAAGATTCTTCATATTTCCGCTAAGTTTCAAAACATTGTCCAGGCCATTAACATTCAGCTTCAAAGACAACCTTGTTAAAAAAAGTTTCAAAAACATTTCAAAATAAATTCAATCTACTGCATATAAGCCCTTCCCGCCTCTCCTTCTCAACATTTATTCTGATTCACCTGACACAGGCAAAATAACATCGTTTGAATAGAAAAACAACACATACCTAAACCTTAACAAAGAGCGCTAAAGCGTTTTGATAGCGAAAATGTTAAATGTGCCGATGCCATGGTTTATTAATACATTAAATTTTTATTTAAGCTCATCTGTTGGGATTTTTAAAATACAAAACAATACAATACGTATGTAACGTTGACATAACACACATATACGATGCAATGAAATGTTTTTCTTCGTTTTACATACCTAAGTTCTTCATCAAATCTAACAGTAGCCGCAGAATGAAATACAATTTCAACGTTTTCTTCAAGAATCTGTATGTTGCTCTCAGACAACCCAAGTCTTGGCTCTGACATGTCCCCTTTCATCACGACAACAATGTCATTGTAATGTGCACGCATTTCACGAACTCTTGCGAAAAGCTGAATAGAAAAAGTAGCTTGTTGAGCGTTGTTGTGCTGTTATTGCTTAATATGTAACTTCAACGATTTACCAAGATAAGAGATGTCACCCCACAGTTACAAGTCAATCATACTGTAATGTAAATGTTTAAATTGGTAACAAAGGCAAAACGAACATGTGGCGAACTGAAATAGTTTGGGATGGAATAAATTGCGTTCAGATGCAGCTGCAAAACATTTACATAGATTTCAGCATTCATTTGCAGGCGTTTTTGAGGCATCTAACATTCAATAAAAAACGACGAAATTAGTGTGGCAACGATTATAGCAATAGGGATAACATATTAGCGCAATGCCAATATAAAATCGCATTTTGTAACTGTCATAATCAATTCGTTTCGTTTATGAAGTTTAACTAGCTTAAAGCACCGATAGAGCAAACTGAGTAAACAATTATTTATTCCGTGTCCGCGGGAATAAATTCCCAAACTGAATGCTAAATTTTCCCAAGCAAACAAAGCTGTAAATTCAGTAAACCGAGTAGTTAAATAGACCACAAGTATAAAACGTAAAACTACAAAAACGTTAGTGACCTTAAAAGTTCAGCTATTACCAATTTAGCAATTTCCATTACTCCCCCCTGATTTTTCGAAGCACGCAATGACGTTTCAGCTGTATATGAGTCACGCGAGCAACTTAAGAAGGCAAATAATACAATTGCACAACCATGTTGCTACAAACACAGGAACATCTTTAATTTAATATCTAATAATAAAATAACAACAATATAACGCATGTGCTGATTGATCTATGACTGAGTTTGCCATCTGTGCAAACCGATCGTAATTGATTGTTATTTTATAAAAGAAACAATCGTCAATTTTGGGGAGAAGCAATAATCAATGTAGGCGCCAAATTTTCATATTAGTTGGGAAAAATGAATTTAAGATAATGTCGTTATTTCAGCTCATAAGCTATAAGAAGTTTATAGTTTGACACATACAGGGGATAAATTGATACAACAAATTTCCAACTGCTTAGTCTGAACGCACAGCATACGCACAGGAGATTCTTTATTTAAGAGCATGATTGACAATAGTATATCTTTAATTTTTTTATGTAATAATCATTGGAATTTGAGCAATTTTATTGGTCTAAGGCTATGATCTATAAGAGGAAACACGCACTGAATTGACGTCACCGAAATTTCTTGTTTTTATAATTTCGTGAATATTTACCAGAATTTATCATTGAATAGGCAAATGAAGACCTGAAGAAGACCAGGTTGAAGCAGTGGACGTATTTGAGCAAAAAGAAAAAAGAAAACCAGGTTTTCAAATGTTGATTTGTAATTAGTCTTCGATAACAAAATTTCAACAAAATTGATTTGCCATTGCTTATTTGTTCTGTTAGCCAATCACATTCTAGCACGTGACTTAAGCTAGCCAATAGCATTTCTTCCATCCTACAGGTAACATACTCATGATACTTGCAAAATCTTGAATTTTTCATTTTTCCAAGTGATAGGGTAAACAAAAACAACTTGTTGATTGTTATAAATGGGAATATCTTTCGGTTTTATTGTGTAAAACAAGCAGTTATGGACACACTGTCATAATACCAGTGCATCTATAACTGAACATAACAACGGTTAAATGTAATCTATTTCAATAATGATCATATCTGAATACTATTTTTAATGTCTTTGGATAAGGACCACATTATTACAACATTTGGAAATCTTAAATCAGAATTAACCAAGGCCTTGTATAAAACTGTTGATCGTCGCTGAAAATTCATATGATCAACTTTCAAGCAACATTACAAAATACGCTATAAAAGAACACCCTTGATTAATATATACACAACTTGTGATATGCATTGTCAAATTGTTGTACGTTCAGTTGACAATATGAAAGTTAATCGTGCATATTTTAAACCCTAAATTTTCCATGTGAGACCTGCATAAAATACAAATAAAATACATTTGCAAATGTATTTAACGAGTGATTTTATTCTGCTTCAAAATTATCATAAAATAAGTCTTTATGGTAAAGCCAGTACCCTAGTAATTTATGTTCTAATTAATTTTCCATAAATTTAAATTTTCTATATGATACAATGCCATCTCTTCAGGAATAAATTTATGGCAAACCTTACTCCCACAGTCCAGGAAATGTCATTTCAGAGCTTTTAAATGAAAACCTACGAAGCCTAAACCTCCGCCTCAAACCTACGAAGCAAAACCCGGCCCTTTGGCTCTCGTTACCTAAATTTAATAATAAACAGCTTCAGCAAACGCAACGCGACTTCAACTAGGGCGTCCAAATGTTGAGGAGAACTGGTTCGAGGACGACGTAGTAATGTCATCTTATTTTGGTTTAGCATTTGAGACGGAGAGTCAAGGACGTGAAAATTTATAGTTCACTCTCAAAGAGTTTATTTTCTTTGATGAGACGAGTGAAAAACACATATTCCTAAATGTTTGTTCAAAAAATAATGAGTTGGAATTCAATATATGTTTGATTTTCCGTCGTTCAATGAAGACGAATCGCAGCAATGTTTTAGAAAAACAAGTTAGTTTGCTTATGCACTTATTCTAGATGAAAATTTTCTGTTTTGACACCATAGACATCGGCCATGTCATTATCAACTCTTTAATATGTGATATCTACAGGATTTTAATTAAAAACAAGGCGCTTTTATAATAATTATATGTACGATGTGAAACAAAACAGTAAAAGAAACAAGTTGTAAATTTCGCCAGAAAAAAGACTGGAAAGGTTGTTAAAAACAGTTAAGATTGTGTTTGTAGCTATTCAAGTAAACAGAGCAGTGTTCAACTAAAACAACCTACGACAAAACGCAAAAAAAAAACAAATGTTAAATACAAAAACATTTAAGGTAAACCCCGCTCGATGTTTTTTGTTTTTAAATTTGCATATTTTGAGCTTTGCCTACAGTTGCAAAGTCAAAAATACTTTGGCAGTAGAAATATTATGAAAAACTTGAAAAAAACATACACGTTCCGCTTCAAAAGTGAAAAAATTGACTGCAAGAGCTGACGTCCTGAGCACGACGTCAAATCGCCCATTTTCACGTACTCAAATCCAGGAAAGCGCCGTCCTAAACTTGACCCGAAATACAAGCACGCCATGCCACGCCATTTTCACGTCCTCGTCGACGTCGCGTTGTTTTTGGTAAAGCTGTCTAATTTTAGGCAGTGGCGACGGAATATTGATAAATGGAGGGGGGGCTACATTCATATGCTATAATCCATTGACACAATTGATTTCAATAGTAACCAATAAAGTAAAACATGCATATATGAATAATAGCTCCCCCCCAATTATCAATGTTCCGCCGGCCTTGATTTTGGGGCGCAATTTTTATTGATGGTTTACCAAGATGAAATGTTCCCACCACGCTACTCCGTACATAACTTATCCCCCTTCCTTTGGCGAGAAAAGAAAAAATCTGCTTTTCGAACACTTAACGTAAACTCAATGGCAAACTTGCTGCCTATCAGAGACGTCTATTTGTGAGAGTTGGGACAACCAGGTTGCTAACGCGTATCCGACTATAGCATGATTTGTCACAAAACTGACCATCAAAGTATGCAAAGCAGTTTAACAACCACAAAACAAAATGACACACAAATTATCAATTGTCTATGGATAGGCAGCGGAGAAATCACTTACGCCCGCATTCTAAAAGCTCGCTCACGCTCACACTCACTCAATGAGTGAAGCTTCAAAAAATAAATCGTTTCAAATTGTATCGTCTGGATAGTTAAACTGTTTTCCAAGTGTTTTTCCTTTGAATCACTTTCGTAAATGTTCTTTTTGTTTCCATAGTCTTTGGAAAAAACTCACAAGTGCATGTTTATTCCAACTTGCACTCGAAACCATGCTATTACTTACTAATAAAATATATGAAAAAAATTCTCAATTCTGTTGACTTTTAACTTCAGCGTACGTACATTTCACCCGGCATGTTATTAATTATCGACCGGCTCGTATATTTCAAATCCGTCGGATATTACTTTTCAACACCATAGCTTCCACACACACCGCTAGAACAAAGTATCTACTTTTAGCAGTGTTTATATTTGTATCGAGAAACATCTTTAAAAAGGTGATCTTCAAACTCGTTCGCGAAAGAAAATCTAGCTACTTAAAACTTACACCAGCCAGTGTAATTGTTTTGTTTATAATAATGTAACTTTCCCGCCTTTGAAATGTTTTATATTGACTGGCTCTTATATTACTTCTTTGTTTGACAATCAGGAGCAGTTTTGAAGAAAAATCAGCACTGGTGTTTCCGCTTTTTTGCACTGGTATTTAGGAAAAATTGCACTGCTCTTAAACAATCAGAATTGAGAAATTTTTTCATGTATATTATTAGGTTTTATACTCATTCAGTAAATAATAAGTCTGCGAGTTGTTGCTTGATAAGAAGACCTTTTTCTTCTTTTATCTGCTAACAGACTTAAAAAAACATACACTTCTCATCCATACCGGAAAAATATTAAAATGGTTAAGCTATGTGAATAGGTGAGTTGTAAAAACAGAAAAACAAAAAAGAATAACTTAAGTTTTCATTGCGTATAGTTTAATTAAGACATACATTAAAGCCTACGGAGTTTATAAACAACATATAACCGTAATAAAAGCTCGCTAAAAACAAGAACTAACGCTTTAAAATGACAAATTTTCATGATGCTCGTACAAAAAACAAAAAAAAAACTTACTAAAAAGAATCCAAAACTCGAAGCAGATGACAAAAACATCATTTGTTTATTTCGTATTTTAATTCGGGACCTAAATTTGCCCCGAATTAAAATACGAAATAAACAAATGATGTGAGTGATTGAATTGTGGGTGATTGTTGGCTCTTGTCATTTACTTCTCCCACTTCTTAAGAACTGGTGGAAGATTTGACATGCATTCATATTTGTGTATTGAGCATTTTATCAGCAAGTTCATGCTTATAAATAAATAGCCAAGTGTACAACATGACAAGTATTGCTAATATAACCTGCTCTACATAAATGCCATAAAGCAACCCTCATCCTCAGTGGTTTGAAACAGGGTTTTAAAATGATTATAAAGCAAGCAAAGCTATATCCTGTATCAAAATTTTATAGTATATCATATTGATTGTAAAATTAGTTTTTTCTTGTAATACAGATGATGATAAATGTGTATGTAATATATTCAATTTTAGGATGTGTGTTTAAAATGATTGGTCATATTTGTGAAAATATATGATTCTATAATATTAGACTAATAATCTTTTTCATACTTGTATTACATTACAATTTCTACTTAAGTGTTTCAAAAGTTATGAATATGGAGTGTCAATTGTGTTTTTGTCTTTTTTTTTAAGTGGGTATTGACCCTTTTGACTCTTTAATGGTGCAATTAATGATAACACAAAAATATGGCATAACAGTTTTTTTTAAAACTAACTCAAAATATTTTTTTGCTAACTTTTTGAAATATTTTGCAAAGTGTTTTTCTTTTTGTTTATGCTCTGAACTTTCAAAAAGGACTGGGGCCAGCTAATTTTGCTCGGAAACATAAAAATTACCGAAAAACAGCGTATTTTGCCCTGACAGCTTCATTTTCAAAGATTCAAACAATATTTTAAGGATAGACAAGTGTGTTCTACATCCTTTTCATGAAAAAAAAACGAGGGATGTCAGTTTTGTATTCAAGTTATAAGGCAAGTTTTCACGTGCCAAAACAAAGTTCGCTTTTCATCCTTCTAAAAAGAAGCTTAAACATGTACAAATGTCGTTCAAACTTGTTTTATATTAAAGTCCAAACTTTGTTTAAGGTTTTTAGCCATTAAGCTGGCTCGAAGACCACTGTTTTTTGCAAAAAATCCGGCAATTTCGAAGTGATGTATTTCGCCTCCGTACCCTTAATGGCGGCGCTCATGCAGGCTTCAAAGATGGCGTCCAAGTTAGCCTTCCAGTTATTATAGAACTCAATGGTTAGCCGTATTTGTTATCTGGTTCTTACGTCATTGTATTGTGTGTACTGAAAATGTGTATTGCCGTTGTGAATTAGTCTGAAGTGAAATGTTTTTAGTTGTGATGTGTGATTTAGGTGTGATGATTTTAGTTGTAATGTGTGGGTGTCAATTCTGTATTGTCATTGTTATTTAATGTGAAGTGTAATGTTTTTAGTTGATAGTTTGTTTGTATTGTGAATAAGTCGTTTGTAAGGTGCCGGTAACTGCTGTGATCTGTTCAGGGGGGTTTGCTCCAAGTTCGTATACCAACTTTCTAAAGTAAGGCGTTGTCTATGGTCAGTACTGTAAGTAATGCATTTTGCCGAGTCCCAGTCAATGTTGTGCTTTGTGATTCGGTGATGTTCGGCAATGTGATTAGTTTTGTCTTGTTTCCTAGTAGCTCGTTTGTGTTCAGTAAGTCTTATGTTTAAGTTCCTGCCAGTTTCCCCGATATAGGAGGCGTGGCAGTCGGAGCAGTTTATTTTGTTAACTGCACCTTGTCGTTCGTTGGGTTGTACTTTGTCCTTTATGTTCGTTAGTACTTGTCGTAACGTTGTGATTGGTTTATGTGCGACACGTATGTTTTATGTTGTATGTAGTTTGAAGTAGAAATTAAAAATAGTAGAAATAAAAAATAGTATACATAAAAATGTCATAGCTCAAACTGCTGAAAAATAATCAATGCCAACAGAGAAGGCAGTTATAACTTATGAATTCCGTGCGTATATCCCTTTCTTGGAGATACGTTTTCTTGTCAATGGCTGAAGAGACGTTAGAAAAGTTCAAATTGCTGGTGTAATTCGTCCACAAAAACCGAAGAGATTGTTGGCTCTTTTGAGTATAACGGAAAATAAATACAATATAAAGACATGTATTCAATATAAGTCACATGTTCCAGAAAAAATATTTAATTATATATTTTATTATGGGATGCATCTACTTAACCTGACCGTTTAATACAGTTTGAAAACAATGAAAAATTAAGTTTGGGACATTGGAAAAGGTGAACGCGTCGGCTTAATAGAGGTGGCCGTTTAATAAAGGTGACTTTAATAGTATTTATATTACGAAATTTTCGGGACTTTGTCATATGACCGCTTAACACAGGGTGATCGCTTAATACGGTGCCGTTTAATACAGGTTCTACTGTACATCATACAGATACACTCAATCAATACAAAGTTTGCGGCGCACGGTCTGTTACGATAGAATGGATAGAGTTATTGTTTGTCAAAAATATTTAAGTGATTTTTTGCGCTGCCTGTGGTCTACATCGTCACTTTGACTGTGGAACTAAGGACCACATGTGATTGTTTGCTTTGGATGTAGACAAAATCATCTTTTAAGAACTAAGGTCCTACCTCAGAGTCAAGTATCTCTCGAACACGCTCTTCACATCCAACATCACCTTTAGGTCGAACCAACAAGTAAATCTTTCTAATGTCTGGACAACTACGAAGTAATTTTTCTATCAAAACCTTGCCAAGAAAGCCCGTTCCTCCAGTAATAAAGATACATTTGCCAGCGTAATATTCTGGAATAGACTGACAACCAGACATTTTCGTATGACGTAAACGTAAGAAAACGTACCACTAAAGGTAAAACGAAAGTCGTATTTTAGTGCTTCCGTACTTGGTTGGCATTACTTGGTACTACTTGGTTGGCTCCTGGCACGTGGTTGACATGTTATGTCTTTCTAAGCTGTCAATGTCTTTAATTTTAAGTTTGAGCTTGAAAGATATGAGTGTCCTAAGACGAATACCTATAAAACGTTCAATAGATTGTTGTCCAAGTTATCAGTGGCAATCCAGCCGCAAGTTTTATTCCTGCTATCTAATCAAAGCATTATTGAATTTATTTTGAAAGTAACACAAAAAGTTAAATAGCAGTCATTTGTATAGCAGCACCAATCAAGCAGGGCCTGTGTCACTACTAGCTATGCAACATCTCTTGGGAATTATTGAGGCTGTGGATTATTTCTACTTTGCTGGTATGACTAACACAATACAACCAGCCTATTTATAATTCCTCTTATTGTCCTACATGCCTTAATATTCGTTCTTTTTGCTCAAAAATTCTTGTTAATAAGTACCACAAAATGTTATAGGAGAAATCTAATTTTCTATTTTTTGTAAAAGCACATAAATTAGTTTGACCACAGTTTGCAGTTAGCCTCAGGCACCTGAAGATAGCATGGCTATCTAGGATCCCAACATCTGACACTTGTGCTGCTGTATTTTATCAGATAATAACCTCCCCCAACATCTATACAAATGATACAGGCTGCATTTGTTAAAGTCCAACAACACCACTAGTGGTGTTGCAGTTGATAAAACAAAAGTTGTGTTTCAACCGATAGCTCAAGAATAAAGATTGGATGCATTGTTGACTAATAATCAGAATAGCTGCTATGACAATTCCTTGATGGAAACTTGTGCATTTTGGTACACAATCTGAATTATTTGCCAAATTAACTTTAAGAGCTAAGTGAGTTACTACTGTTATCCAACTCAAACACAGTTACTATATTTCAACTTTATGAAATACAACATTTGAGGTACATTTCTCAGAGAAGTTGACCTGTTGCTACCTGATACCATGATTGTCCTATTTTTAAAAATTGTAAACATTTAATTATAAAATGAAAATACTGATTTAGCGCAACAAAAGTACATGCTTATAATACAAGTCTTACTTTACATAAGTAATTTTGAATTTTAATGAGTTTTTACAAATACCAGATGCTGTATGTCCGATCAAATGTAATTCTAGTTCGCTTATACCTTTCGAATTATAAGTAAACAACGTCCTGTGCTAACTCCACGTAAGACTTTGTCATCAACAATTATTAAAAGAGTAAAACCGTCTCAAAAAACATCGTCGCTTGAATTCACAATTGATTTACAACAAGTATAACTGTACGGCGTAATTATAGGACAACACATTCTCAATGTACAAATTTTATGGCAATTACCTTTAGTTTGCACGAGTCAATCATGAAGTGATCGCATAACCAAACGCACCAGAATATCAACAATTGTTAACTAAACCTATTCTAAAGCAATCAGTTGCTTAATTCTAACCTTCCTAAAATTTGTAAGCCCATCAATTAATTTCCAATGACATTTATACATCGAGAAACCTTGTAGCCTGCACCCACGCCAAATAAATTCTAAGCGACAGCTGCACAAAAGCGCGAACGTCAAATGAAACAAAAAGTTAAATTATATTTCACCAAATTACAAAACATACATACAAATATATATACGCTCGAGTAGTACATACGATAAAATAGATGCAGAAATGAAGTAAATACCTGTAAGTAAGTACGCGCTCACCAAGTTTCCAAATCTTAAGACCAACTGTAAGTTCATGCGAAATCTGTTCTTATATGCACAATTATTGCTGATCGGCATATTATCGCCATTTGCCGTAAATGCCATCGCACACGTGGTGAGCCTGCCACTCGCGTGATCACACACATGATTTGTCCTATCCAAAGTAAACAAAAGCAACCGAGGAACGCGTAACTCGAGGCAAATTTTTTCTATATATCGTGTTGACTTTTCTTGTGAGAACTGGACCAACGAATTCTTATTTTTAATTTTCATGTTTGTCTGTTCATGGGAAGTGATGATTTTTTGAAATAGTTTCTGAAAGCAAATGTGAAATGGATTGGTTTATAAGGTAATGCTTGATATACTTTTATATTAAAAGAATGAACTATCATTTTACCTTTTTCAAGTCATGAATTCAAAGTCCACATGTTATATTTCACGTGTCAGGGGAACCATTTCGTGCAGCTGACAATCAATTTGGTATATTGTTTGTGTAAAATAAATAGTAAACCAAAACGCAACGATTAACATTCTGAACAAATGTTTATTGACAGCAGTGTTTATATTTCATTGAAAACAACAGTATCGTAATTTACTTCCCCTGTCGTTTGAAAGTAGTATCTGTTATTTAAAATGTTGATGAATCAGTTGAAAGATATTGAAAGACTCGTGGTTAATTTGTTTTTAATCTGACCTTAATTTTTTAGTAAAACGGGCAAGAAGAAATATGCCATTAGTGATGAACAGAAGGAAATTAAACCATACCTAAACAAAGAAATCTACGAGAATTTTAGTTTGACTCAAGAAGAAATAAAAGAAATGGTTATCCTTCCTGTTGGTATGGATATTAATGAGTGGCTTGCTACACATAGTAAGTTTTGCTAGTTTGACTATTTCCTTAGCTAGTTTGGCTATATTTCCTATGAGCTATTGCCCTAATTTTTATTCTATTTTTTATTTTGTACACATTATTTGGGCAAGGTATTATGTTCTGCTTGAAACATTCTTGGCATTATGCGGTTAATGTTTTCAAGTCTCCAGCTTTCATGATTTTTTACTAATATTTTAACGAATAACTTTTTGATATTTCATCCATGAAGGCTGGTTATAATTGCTGAACTTTGTATAAACTACAAACAGGGAAATGTCTGTTTCACTTTTTACTTTATGTCTGTTTAGACAAATACTTGAAGTTGCAACTTGTTGCAATATATAATGATTAGTTTTCATTCATGGCCGGGTATACTCCTAGGATTTGTGCATTTTCCACAATGAATTTTGATACATTGAGATTTGAGACTATCTCTTGGCTTTGCATGCCTTTTTGAATGATGAAGATGGTTCATATGCCCTCAAAGACAAAGCAACAATTTTTGAAAAATAGTATGTTAAAGCCATAATGATCAATGCTATTGTGTATGAATTGATTTAGTTGCATAGTATCGCCTGTATACAAAATGGGGGGGAGGGGGATTCAATAAGGATTATAAGTTTTGCCTTTGTGCAATTACAATATGCATCTTTATTTAGATGTTAAGGCTGTAATATAATGTCATCCTTACATTCCATGATAAAAAATTTATAAATTTTGTATTAACTCTAACTAAAGAATCATGCAATTACCATATAAGTTGCCAAACTTCTAATTTTTTTCTAACTTTCTCCAATATTTTTTGTACGTTTTTGATTTAATTGGTTAACACATTTTGGAGAGACATTTTTCTAAACAAATTATACCATGTTTGACTTTTCTCTTGTTAAATGATACTTACATAAGAAATTAGTGTTTGGTGCTATTGTTTACCTTACGATTACATTAATGTTCAAATATTCCCACATTAATTGCGTTCAGCAAATATTGCAAATAGTTTATCTTTCTTAAATTCATTATCTTCTACCAAATTTTGTGACTTTTCATTGAATGTTAAATTCCACCTCAGTTGAGAAATTTGATGCCAAACTCAGCCTTTGCTTTCCAACTGGTTAGTTTGTTTTCATGTTAATAACATATGTTGGTTTTTGTGGGTAGCCGCTGCGCATGCGTGGCTAACCACTATGCCACGCTGATAGTGTCCGTCCCATTGAGTTCTATAATAACTGGAGCGGCGATCTCAAGCGCTGCCTTAGATATCGGATGACGCCAACAAAATGGAGGATTTCGTTCTTTGCCGCTGAGATTTACCGAAATTCACCGCTTTTCCGAAAATTTCACAATTCCCCACTCCCTCCTGAAGAAAGAGCGAGGAAAATGTATATGTGTATTTCGGATTCGGCAAGCAATTTTTGATGAAAATCAAGGTAAAAACCTTAAATTCATTACAGCGAGTAAACTTTCATTACAGCGAGTCAATTGTCAGTTATCTGCTCCTACGAGGATGTTTTTTTAACTATCGACGAAAGAGCTATTTGTCGGCTACACACGTAAATGCAGATGCGTCGTTTTTTTACCAGCGTCAAACTTGTTTGCTGGATTAAACTCTTTAGTCTATACAAAAAAGTATATCACAGTTCATCTCCACGGTTCACGAGAGAGAAGTTACCTCATTTTTTATCATTGCTAGTTTGCTTCTTTTCATGCAATGGGCAATGGCTTTTTTCGCCACAATTGTAGGATTTTTACTTGTTGTTTTAAAAAAGTAAATATTAAATCTCTGGATATTTACGGATTTTCTGTAATTGAGTTTCATATTAAATTTCAAAAAGACTCTAGTGTGCATAGGTTTGATAAATGAAAACACACAATATTGTATAGAAATTACTTAAAGTAACCTTTTTGTGATGTTCTGAAGTGCAACTGCATCAAATACTTGTAAAGTTGTAGCACATTTTGATTTCGTTGTATTGATATATGAATTGGGCAAAATGCAAACAATCATCAAAACACTTATGCTTGCAATGGTGTTAATAATTCATTTTTAGTTTTAATACTTCTACCCTTCTTTTTCTCTTTGTTTTGTCTTTCCTATATTTGCAATAAAAGTGCACAATTTGAATTATTAACACAGTTTTCACCTCAATAATAAATTTCGTAAGCAGTTAGTAGTGCATTTTGTTCTCTGAGTATCCACATTTGGTGTTTTGTTCATACAAGAATGATGAAGTGCAAGTAGATATGTTATAGAAAAGGCAATAAAACTAAATGAATAACCTTTTGTGTACTTTAATGCTAGAAGCTTAAAAGCTTTTTAGAAATTATAAAGTTATTGGATTATATTACCTCCATATCATCAATCTCATGAAAAGAAATAAGAAGCAAAAAATTGTAGAAAAGCTTTGAAAAGTGAAAAAACTGTTTTTTAAAAAAAGTAGCAATAATACATACGATAAATCTCCATTCTGTAGTCTAATAGGTAAATAAGCTCAAACTGTTTCTTAAAGCAAAAACTGAAATAATGAAGTAATATATAGCACAGTAACTTTAAAGCTTTCATCACTGAATCTTTAATGCTTCAGTATAGTGCTTTAGATATTAATAACATTTAATCAACACTCTACTAAAATACTTTGATAAAGATATGACATGATTTAAATATTAAGTTATATAAAACCCAATGGCTTATACAGTTTGATGCTTCACATCTGCATTGAGTCATCATCAATCTAGGTACAAATGTTTACATAGATACAAATTTTATGGTCTTTCCATTTTACATGTTTGTGAATTGATATTTCATTAAGCATCAAAACACACACAACACTCTTGCCATCTTTGGTTCATGAACTTCAACTTGAAAGCATTCAAGGCATCCTTAGTGAATCCATTGTCTCCATCCATAGAATTTGACCATGATCAAATTAAATAACTCTGGATAGGGAAGACAATAAATCCTTTATCTTTTCAGCATTATCATTTTTTTAAGACTGCCTGGTTAATAACATCTTCCAGTCATCTTTACTCCTTGATCGTCCCTGCATGTTGTCAGCAAATAGAACATAACAAGCTCTGCCACAAATCATGGGTACTGTTCGGGCTGATCGTTTCTTTTTGATATTTACTCACAGAGCAAAACGTGTGCAGGGTCTTTTTGCTTTAGGGAAGCTATTTTGCAAATAGATAGGTAAATTTACGATTTCATGCATTACCAAATGACAGAAAAGTATGCAGAGTTTTTTAAACAAAAACCTGAAAACATCAGTATATTTGGCGTTCAAGTCAGTCTTAAAAAATACGATCTTTAATATGTATTTTTTGGCTTTTCAAGTGCATGTATAGTAGCTTTTCAATCGTTGACGGACTAACAAAACAAGCAAATATCTCATCGGTGAGAAGCGATATGTTCCTTTTTTTTGGAAACTACGACATCCAACAATTGTAATGCCAACGTTTAAGTGTTGGCATTATAAATGAAATGCCAAAAAAAGATATCGTCACAAAATATGGAACTAACGATATCCATATTCTGTAATATCGTGTTTGTTTTCGAAAAATTCTTTATAATTAACTATGCACACCATGGGGAGGTTAAGAATATTTTTTTCTGCAAAGCAATCATTTCAGCGGAAACGATAAGTCAGGGGGGTAAACGAAGCCAGAATTTTTCATTTTTGCAGGTCGCGCCAGTTCTTTTGTATCAAAATTCAAAAAACAGCATTTTTATATTTGTAAAATTTCAAACGTAAACTTTGCGGTAGTTTTTCGAACTTGAAGAATATTAGTCCAAATTATAGAATGTCAAAATAAATTGGCCAAAAGTCATAGTATTGCTGAAAAATTTTGAAGCAAAGACGAAAATTACGAAATGTCCGAGAGATTTTTGTTGCTTTTTCTGAGTTTTTGAAAGTTCCAGGCATACCCAAACGTTCAAACCACCTAAATATTGTAGTTCCGTGTTAAATACACAAGGGTATAAAGTTTCGTAAAATTGAGGGATTTGCAAAATGTGTTTTTTTGTAAGTATTTTTTCATGCCATGAAAATACACATACATTTATAGCTCAGTGTCATAAAGAAAAGTGTAATATCTTAGCAAAAAGAGTTTTTAAAAAGCTATTTTATTTATGTAAATGCATAAAAATCAAGAAAATATTTCGAATAAGCAACGCTCCATTCGTATTATGTCTGTGTAAAGCAAATAATGAGAGAAAAAGAAAATCAAAACAATGGATATAACTGCGGGTCGATAAGCTTGATTGTTGATACAAAAACAGCAATGAAATAAACAAGGAAAAAGTGTGTGCCATCAAACAAAATATATCACTCGACTATTATTAAAACGTAAAAGGACATGAACCACACACAAAAATTCGTATCAGATATTATGAATATTCAAATATGTTTTATATAGCATTCATATTTTTTAACATTCAGTTCCGTCTAGTATACTTGAGTTAGTTTGTCGATCGATCGTCCTCAATTCTTGCTAAATATATTCCTCCTAGAAAATATCTTGCTGTGGCATAAACTAACTCTGTTAGATGCAATTTTAAAGCACAAAATGTGTAAAAGAAAAGATACCAAATCAATTTTTTCACTTTTTTCAACTGCCAAGAAGCCTAAACAAACATCGGCCGCCGAAAAAAACACGCATTATTTCAAGGGGGAGTTTGACAAATTTTATATGTATTTTGGCTTCAACCAATCATTGGTCAAAACTATGGGAGTTATCGTTCCAATGCATGTATTTTAGTTCAATGCCGTTGGCTGCCATGTTTTTGGCGTCCTCGCCCCAGTACAGTTAGCCGCTCCAGTTATTATAGAACTCAATGGTCCGTCCTTCTGTCCTTCTGTCAGTCCGTCGTAATCCTCGGTGATAGCCGGATATACGAACGATGGCGAACAATACCGTTTTGTGCGTTCGTTGCTTTGTCGGAAAAGTATCGTGAGTTGTTTTTCATTCGACATAAAGACTATAACAATATAACCATTGTTGCCAGATTGTGAACAAAGTTTATAGATTTATGAACTTTTGATTTTTATTTTGAATTTTTGTGAACATAAAGAATTTTGTGAACATTTCATGAACTTTTACTAAAAATTTAAAACTTTTTATGAACTTATCAGTTATGAAGGACAAGGTTGCTTACAATGAATATACACTGGTTTCGAGATTCAAGACAAAGCTTAGTTCATTCTTCATTGTTGATGTGGAGAGAATTTTTTCTTCTGTGAATGCAATCAAAACTAAAGGAAGAAATAGGTTGCACACAAAGTTAGTGTGCGGTATTCTAAAAGTTAAGTAAGAGTGAAAGAGTCAGGAGGCTGTGTAAATATTCTCCTTCGACCAATGCTTTAAATCGTATGACACACGACATTCTTTATGCTCAAGACTCTGACTCAAGCGACTAATCTGAATCGAACTAAATAATTGTTATTTTTTTGTTATTTTGTACAAATGTGCAATGTGCATCATTATAAGTTTACATTTAATTTAGCTTATTTCATCATTTGGTGTAAATTATGCAATTTTTGTCGATTTGTGAACATTGGTGGATAATATGTGAACTTTTGAACATGCCGACATAAACTTATTTAAAATTCATCTGGCAACACTGAATATAACTAGGTTACCTGCAATGTAGGAATTGCTGCGTGAATTTTACGGCCCAAGTAAACTGGCGCGATTATATTATCACCTAGCGATCAATTAGTGAAGAAGGGTAGCAATTTAATAATTGTTCAAAGTTCCAAAATAAACGAAAAATATTCACCAGTACAATGTTGTAAGTGTAATTAACTAAAGGCTTTTTTCAATGAATCTGCTTTCTGAAAAACAGAACATTACTTTGATAGTATGGAGAAAGGGAATGAGAGCCATTCACTTTCTCCATACAATTTGGGGTAGTTTTGTGTGACAAAGTTTTTTCTGCTTTGCTATGATCTTTTGTTGACTCATTTATGGTAAACTTTCATTGGTGATGAACAAGCATTTAAAGAAATCTTTCTTAAAAGAATGATTGATATTTGCAATACTCACAAGCTATTTGCTATTTTGTCAGATATAGAACTTTAACTTATACAGCACTGCTTGATGGCAGACACCATATGTATGTTAAATGTATCTGGAACTTAAATTACAACTTGAATACAACAATAACGAATCAAGTTTATTTTTATAAAACTTATTACATAAAAAATGAATTCGACATAAGTATTGACATAAATATCAGAACTAAGCAAAGAAGAGAAACAAAATTTCATTAACCAATGAACATACTCTTTCCTGTGCCATTCCAGTAAACTAGATGTAACCATTGAAAAGCATGTTCATTTGTAACCACAACACTTTTTCAATTTTTTTCATTTGATGAACAATTTTTTGTCTCTCCAAAGAGTAGTAATATATTGTACGCCCAGCAAAGACATATGAACTTCTTCAGTTTCCATCACTTAGGACTTGGTGTAAAGTACTTGGTGTAGTTAAAAGATTTGGTCTTATGTGTCTTCGAAGCAATACCAGTGGCGAGTTGATTAAAGAACAAATATATCTTCTCAATTTTTATCTACTGGAATAAATGGGAATGGGCAAGCCATGTTTGAAACAGGTTACACTAAAAAGTATTAAATTTAAATATAAGCTGTTGCAAATTCAAAACGAGAAGAATGACACATGCTCCAACAACAGCTCAGTCTGTACAATTACGCCAACAGAAAATGAAGGATGTATTGAAAACATTAAATTGTGTACTAGTGCTAGTGTAACTCTACATTATTACAATAAAACACAGTAAACCACAAAATGTATATGCCTATAGATGTTATAGATATAACGAAAAAGTAGAGATCAAACTGTTACACTTTGAAACAAGGAACAAAAAGAATATGCATGAATAAATATTGACACACTATACACAACAATTATGAGCATTTTTCGCACAGGAATGGCTATTTTATATGGGATCTTGTGACCCAATAAATGCATAGTTAAAAGGCATCGACAAATAAATGGCAAAACAATTTAAGACTACAATATACCATTAGCCTGTAAAGCACTGAAAGAACAACAGCTCAAGCAAAGCCAAAGTAATCGATGGTACGTTGGAAGAATATATAAAGTGTTAGGGCTAGGGTTAAGGTCAAGTTCATATTATACGCGTATGAGTGGGCGGGTATTCTGCAATCGCTCCTAAAGCTTATATATAAGCAGCGAAATTAAGCTTTGTCGAAAAAATTGAAACAAAAAAAACGATATCTTACCTTGAATGTTTAAAAAAAGACCAGAAATAGCTTCGAAAAGTGTGAATAATATGCGAGAAATATGTCGGCTTAAAATTTGTGTTCTGCGCATGAAAAATGCGCACGACCACAATTCCTTGCGCTTAATAAAATTAAGTTAAGAAACCCAAAGCCCTCCATTTGTAAGAGTTGGGACGCCGAAAGTAAAATTGCCCAGCGTCCGCCATTTTTGTTCCAAAAGCCAGCAAATACAATATGGCGTTATATGGAGAGAAAACAAATTTTTGGCTTTTTTTGCTTATTTAGGGACAAACAAAGATTGCTACATTCGGAATTTAGTTATTCGAAATCACATCGTCAACTGTCTCCTGTGCACATCAGCATATGATCTTGTGCGTGGCTTTGCCATAGTAAATATTACATTTGATCTAATCAACCATTCCACTAATGTCTTATGACAACTTATACGGAATCCGAACCCTTTGGTGTACCTGACGAAATTTGGTTCACTTGGCAGTATTATTTTTATTTTGTGAACTTAATGATTGACCAGTTGAATGAAACCAGTTCGCGCTTGGACTTGGACTAAGCACGAACTTTTGTTTATTCGAAGTATTTTAAGAAAGATGTTCTAAGATGCTGCTTTGTTGTGATGATTGAGAAAAGAAGCGCGTGGAAAGATAAACAAGTAATATAGTGTGGTTTGTCATGAACTTTCCTGTGGTCGTGGACAAATACGCTTGAACACATAAGAATACACATATAGCGTTGTCAAGCTAAGTTAACTATAGCGACTAAGTCGCGGCTTCATGCATGTAAATACTGCAATTCTGTGAGTGTTATGACATGCAAATATTTAGTAAGAATCTTTAACGAATACACCCAACGTTATTTGGAGTAAGATGCAGAAATCCTTGCTTGTATAACGATTTCCTTTTCTACTGACCTACAGGGCAGCATGTGCCCGATATCAAAATTAGCTTTTAGTTTGTGCTCCACGCGAAAAATCTTGGCGACGACACTGTTGATAACCATTGACCAATTCCATGCAGAAAAAAATATAATGCTAATTAAAACAATCTAAAATGATGGTGAATTCTTTAAAAAATCTGAAATACCGCAATGGGCTCCCTAGAGGCTTCAGTATTTTCGGAGATTGTCATCAGCGTGTCGAAAAACAAAGTTTATTAACTTTGTCAAATCACCACTTTTTGGCTCCGTTTCGAGATGACACCTTTACTGTCGTCCATGATAAAATGAAGGATATTTTTTCTAAACGATCTTGATAATTAAAACACCTACAATAAACTTGTTTTTCTTGATTACTGTATTTGGTATCTAGAAAGGAATGGCAATGAACTGACAAGACACCAACAAAGACAGACCTCTTTCTGGACAATTTATCGTACAATCATTCTTCCCATACATTGGCAACCGTAACTACTTTAGTGGAATGAGCCCGTAAGGTTTGCAATTCAAAAGAAGCCTTTCATCAAAAGCTTTCTTGATTGAAGCGAGTTTTCAGTAAGGACAACGATAAGAACGTATTTGTGCTACGTTTGCGCGGTCGAGCAGTTAAACCCAAAAGGCGACCAGCCATCTTTGGTACAAACAAATAATATCGCTGTTCTTCATTGGGAAACAAATCCTATAATTAGATTGGAATAATGCTAAGTGTTTGGATTTTATTATAGCGACACTATTAATGTTTATTGTAACCATCATTTATGATTTTGAGGTTGGTTTTCGTACAGAAAGTCGAAATGTAAGACAATTTCATCTACTTTTTGTAATTATTAGAATGTGGATGCTAGAACACTAATTTGGTTTGTGTGTATATTCATCAAATGACTACTTACCTCCCCAGTTAACTTTCGAGCGACACCACATCAGGAGTATCTATAAATAAAACAAATATTGACAAAATTTGGAACCATTTTTGACGTTGCGTTTGATCATTATGGAAAAATTGTATATGGCTTGTACGTTAAGAGAAACGATAAAAGATAAAAATAACCAAAATCAATACAGCAGCTACACAGCAGCGAACTAAATGAATGCTAGTAATGGCATCGCCAGTCCTCAAGATTTGGTCCTGCTACAAAATATTTCAGAGTAAATTATAAAATAAAAGCAATGACACTTGTGCGGTGATTGGTCGATAGCTGTGTTGCATTAGCATGTGCAAACTGATCCAAGTTTAACCAATTAAATCAATCAAAGAGAATCTGCAAATCAATCATGACAACATTTTAGAGGAAAAATTAAAACGCTTGTTTTACTTTTGTCTGTGTGGCATTGTTGTTATTTTATAAAAGAAACAAAAGATGTTTTTCGTGTTAGCACTGTATGGCTTATGCAAACCGCGGAGATATTTGCGAGAACTCTCGAGTAGCTGTCGAGTGCTCCAAAAGATCTCCTTGCTGTGCAGAAGCCTATGCTTATACAGTAAACATCTTTTATTTCGTAAATCATGATTAATGATTTGGCATTACGCCAAATTAACTGATGAACGTTGCGTTTAACGTTACTCTTATTTCCAATGCGATCCAACAAGTTTTAACAACTAACAACAAAGTTGGACGATGTTTCATTAAAGTGACAGACTTTAGATACCATGTGTTGCCCCATAAAAATATCAATTTTTGTATGATGAAAAAATGTTTACCGTTTCTCTAGCATTGACCTTGTTCAATAGTATCAACCAAATTTATGGTGCAATCACAGAGTTTTGTACTGCAAACACGTGCCCTACGATGACTGCTGGTGCAATGTAAGTACGTATGCTCTTGGCCGGTGTCACAGGAAATATGTCCCTCCCCCCCCTCATGACGGAGCACGTGGGTCACAAAGCAGTTTGTTTCTTTGGTATACTGAAGCCATTCTTGAAGCACGCTGAAATATCTTGCTAAACGTTTTGTTATTTGGATTATTTTTGTGGAATATTTTTGTGATGTGTGTTAGTCAATGCTTTGTGCGTTTTGCGTTCATAGCATGTTTTTATGAGTCATTAGTTTTATTTTTACCAATTTTCCTAGAAAATATGGCATTGGGGGGGGGGAGAATTTTTGACGTGTTTCCTTGAGACATTGACATATTTAACTTTCTTCGTCATCACCAGAATGTGCAATGTTTATTTACACCTGGGATTCGTTGCTGTTTTATTTTAAACTTTTTTGTCGAAATAATCACGCTATTTAATGTTTTGCAGTAGTCATGTTATTTTTTTCTTTAATATTTTTTCGATTTTTTATGCCGTCAACGTAGATACGAAGGATACTATATTACTTGTGTTTTAGGTATATATTTTTGTAAGTGACTTTTTCACAATTAGCGAAACAGTTCTGGAAATATTTTCCTGCTTGAAAGAATGCTTGTGATTGTTTCCTTACGCTCAAAAGCTCTCTCAGTCTTTGGTGTTAAAATTAACTTTAATGAACGAAAGCTTTTTCACAAGGAAAGGTTTCTATTTTTCTTTGCATAGTTCTAGAGGATAATAGTGCTTTTTCCAACGTCTGAACATTTGCTGTCCTTACAACACCATCTTTGCCAACGATAAGATCAGCTTCAAACCCGAGTTTTCCTCGATTCTTGCTATTGTCTTGAATTATACCTGCTTCACTTGTCGTTGGACATGTCTTTGGACTTGTCTTGCTAAGCTCGTTTTCTGACTACATTCACATGTCGTTTGCGTAAACTTCGTACGTATTCACGTGACCACCTCCACCACAAGTTTTGCTTGGACTTATTTAACAACTTCACTCGTTTCCGAAGCTCTACGTCATGCTCATATCTGGCTTTTGGTTTTGGCAATTGGTTTGGATTAATGTTCAACATGGAAGAAGGAGTTAATACCGGGAGTTCCACGTTATTTTCGAGGTAACTGCGAGGATGATCATTAAGTGCAACCTCTACATGTAGGACTACATCTTCTAGCTCTTTAAACCTAAGGGTACCGTTTCCAATGGATTTATGAAATTCTTTTTTGAACAGCCCAATAAGCCTTTCGTACTGTCCTCCCCGACAAGGAGCGTCCATCTGATCTCTCTCGCTGAAAGAAAGGAATGGAATTTCTCGTCACTCTGGACGCGTTTCAACCACTTTTCTGCTGCCTTGAAGGTTGCACCGTTGTCCGAATATATTATTTTGGGTAGACCTTGTCGTGCAATCAATCGCTTGAGACTTGGTAAAAAATCAGTGAGTTCCTGTGATGATAACAACTCCAAGTGTACAGCTCTTGCTAAGCTACATGCAAATAACTCCAAATACGATTTCGCTATTACTTTTCCTCTGCCTCGAAAATACATCAGACCAACAAAATCGACCCCCAGTACTTTATATTGTGTTGAACGTTGGATACGCGTTGTGGGAAGGCTGGCAGAAGGTGGGTTCGCGTAAGATTGTGCGTGAACTCTTTTACATCCGCAGCATTTGATTTTCATCGTTTTTAACTATTTGACGTAGTTTTGGGACCCAATGCCGTTTTCAGACCTTGGCCATCGTCATGCCGACGCCACAGTGAAGTGTTTGAGGATGAGCCTACTCGATGACTTCTAAATGAAGTTGTGGTCATTTGGGAGGTGTATTGAATATTCACCCTCGATTCTACAGCGGCATTCCAGCTACTTTGTAGATGTATCCTGCTTTGGTGTAAATTCAATATTTAGTGTATCACTGTCCTTGTTCCACGGTAAACCTACCAATCTCGAGGCATGTTTTCCACGTCTCATTTGCTCGTTTTCTTTATGTCACTCTACGTCCAAATAGTCGTTATCCTTCAAGGATGATACGTTTGAATGCCATTTGTGGAGTTTAAATGAAGCATCTTAGAATATCTCAACTGATTTCACTTTCTTCACGGATACGCACTCCTTTTTCCACTACTCTTGTAATGAAATCATCTACATAAAGCTTGTCTCGAACATCTTCCGCAATTTCAGAATACTGAGATACTGAGATTTCCAGCGTTGTAGATGCTCCACGATAACTGCACCGAGGATAAACGGAGAACACGCCAAGCCAAATAACGCTCGTGTGAAGCGATATATGAGGATATCTCTCCCTACCTGGGCTTTTCCAGAAAAACTGTAAAGAATCTCATCCTTCTTTCTTAATGCGCACTTGGAGGAATGCTTTCTGCATATCACTCGTTAATAGAACAGGATAGAATCTTGCTCTGATGAGAATTTGCCACAGCAAGATCTGCAAGAGAGGGCCAGGATTTAAGCAGTCATTAGGAGATGGCTGCTCTGTTTGTTCCTTTGCAGATGCATCGTAAACTATTCTCAGTTTTGTTGTTTCAGCTAATTTCTTAACGACAGCCTTGTGAGGTACGTAATACGCCTTCACTTCTTGTTCATGTGGAGCCATCTCGATGATGCCCTGTTCCAACTGTTCACGTATTATTTTGTTGAATTTGTCAAAACTTCCATCTCGCTTTAGTTTCCTCACCAACGAATGAAGACGACGACGAATTCCAGCATCATTGGTCGGAAAAGGAGAATGATTTGGTTTCCACAGTAAGTTGGCTTCATGCTTACCGCATGGACTTCTAGTAAGCTGTTCTCGAAATTCTTCGTGCACAAAGCTCTGGTCGTTTTCGTCCACATCGGTCAACCCTGAGTACATATAAACGAGGTTCTCAAAATCATGCTGAGTAGTCTGAGTCGAAAGCATCGATGATCAATCAAGGCCAACTGCCGGACTCATAGTCACCCATCCAACCTTTGTTTCTCTGCAACTGATTCACTATCTCTATAACCAATGAGTGTTTTACATCTGGTTTTTATCCGCGCGTATTCTCCATTCGTAGCACAAGATGAATAGGCAGTTCTCCCTTTGTATCCCGGTCGTCTATGGCAACGCCATTTACAAGGTTTTCATAACCAGGGGTTTTCACAGATAGCAGCTCGGACTTGTCAACTTTCGTTACTTTCACGTTTATCTTGAATTCATCGTTAATAAAGCTTACCTCACAATGGTATATCTCAATTCGAGCTGTTTTCGTAGCCATTAGCCATTAGCATGTCAATTTTCTGAATTTAAACATATATCGGTATTTTGTTTGTCAATTATCGATATTAATTTTGGCTGATGCGTAAGATCCCCCAGCGCCAGAATGTAACAAGGCCTTACTTGTAACTCCATTCACTTTGGCAACAACTACTGGAAAAACTCAATCATCACTTTCTCCATTTGTCATCAGTTTCTACGGATTTTCTGTTTTACCATTGTACAATAACAGATGGAAAGCTACGCCTGTTGAAATAGTGATTGCACTGGAGCCCAGTCTTTCCACGCAATGTAAACACACGGCCAATTGACAGAAGCGAAAAAATAACTTGTACAAACTACGGATCACCAAAAACTAAACACAAATTCTTTTCTGCCTTAATTTGGCAAACAAAACATTCATAAATCAGACTTAACATCAAGCATACATAGGATAAAACGCGGAATTGGGGATAAAACGCAGAATATTGTTAAGTTATATTTTATTGTTTATTCTTTTCGTGAACATAACACTACTTTGAATTATTAGAAATGAAAACAACCACTATTAATAAAAATTATAAAATTATCATATGTATTTTACAACCTGACTTGGACGAGATTTGAACTTGCACCTTCGGGATACTCGCCACGATAAAAGTTTTCTGGATGGCACGGTGCCACAGGTAGAGCGGTTGATATTTGTTATGACTGTATAATACACTTAGAGCCAGGGTGTGTAAGATACACGTTCTCTGTTGTCAATAGAAATACCTCATAAGCGTTGCGTAAAATCCTGATTCATAGGCAATGTGTCTTTGCTTTATGTATCCAAACATAAGTTATATACACTAATCACTATCGAACACATAGTTAGCTTTCATTTATACCAAGCATCACTAACCATTCAAGATTTACTTGATTTAACTCTTTTAATGGTAATGAAGCACTTTGTTGCTTGAGAAAAGCAAGTTTATAATCGTGAGAAAGTGCAAGTTACACATATAAATAAACCATATAATTTATGAACTGGGTTTTGCAACTTCAATTGTAAGAGAATTTAACGGCCCTCAAAACTAATAATAGTTCCTCTTTAATTATTAACAACGCATCGTTTATAGTTTTGTTTATAAAGTTTCTAGGGTAATTGTTTTTTATACATGTGGAGTATAAGAAGTTTCGTTCTGTTTTCTTGTCTTCTTCTGCGTTACAATGAGTGTTGATCCTGTTATAAAGTGTTTGTATGCAGCTTATTTTGTGTTGTGTTGGTTGATTGCTGTTGAAATCGAGTATTTGGTCTCTGTGGCTTGTTTTACGGTATATTTGTGTGTTTAGTGTACCGTCATCTGTTCTGGTCAGTAGGATGTCGAAGAAAGTAAATTGTTTGTCGTGCTCTTCGTCTTTAGTGAAGGTTATGTTCTTTGTCGTATAGCTTATGGTGTGTAGGATTTGTTCAGTTTTGTTATTCTTGACTATTGCAAAGATGTCGTTGACATATCTTTTCCATAGTCTGTTGTTTGTGATGTTTGGGACTGATTGTGTTTCGAGGTGTTGCATGACGGCTTCTGCGAGGAAGGTGGATAGTGGTGACCCCATTGGTGTGCCTGAACTTTGTCTGTAGTATAAGTTTTGGAAAGAGAATTCAGTGAAGAGGCAAAGGTTGAGTAATTCTTGGATGTCATTTTTGTTTGGTTGTGTTGTAGCTTGCCTACATGATACCATGTAAAGACTGCTCAAAACAATACATAGGACAAACATCAAAGAAAATCGAAACAAGACTCACAGGACACAAAAACGCCATAAAACGACGAGGTCCATACTCACTACCGGCAGAACATACCCACGCAAATAATCACACGTTCGATTGGACAGAAACTAAAGTACTCGGACGTATGCTTGCCCAAAGCAGACAAAATCATCATAAAAAAAAACTTAAATGTTTGAAATCTAAATCCAATTTCAAAAATCGATGTCGAATTATTAAAATACCATTTCCAAATCACTAAAATTGAAAAAAATCGTAGTTGAAATAAAAAAAAAATCAAAGTCGATCAATCGAATCGAAGTCGATCAGCCGCTCAAATACAAATCAATATACTCCATAATAAAATATCATATATCGATTTGAAAAATTTTACTGTTACATAATTATCATAATCGCTCTCCGAAATAAAATGGCGGCAATATGGCTACCTAAATTGAATTATAAATATACTGGAACGATAACTCAGGGGGGGGGGAATTGAAGACCTGTTCTGTAGGTGGTGCCAGTGCTTTGTAACCTTAGTTTTTCAAAAAATACATTTTATATCGCTAAATTTCCCCCTTTTCTGTTTGTTTAATACTGTCAATATCTAGCTTTGACTATAGTAGAGGCATGAAATTTTTTCACTCAAGTAACTACATTGAAAAAGGTCGTTTAGTTTCTGACAAAAACAAAAGTTAGCAAAAAACTGCGCGAAAATGTTTTCTTTTTCTGAGTTATAAGAAGTTCTAGATATGCCTACCTGTTTCTACTCCGAAAATATTTTAGTTTCTGGTTGAATACACAAACTATCAAAGTTTCCAAAAATTTGATTTATCGAATAATAAGAAAAATGTGTTTTTTAGACAACACGGACTCCACATTTTCCACTTTTTGCCTCCATAGAGTGAATAATGCAGAGTCCCTCTAAAAATATTCCTTTCCTGGAAACACACATGTACAAAAAGGACTTGGCATTTTGCACTTTATGCGCTCAACGTTACACAAACTATTGCATTAGGAGAGACTCCGCATTTTCCACCATGCCCACTTTTCCGAAGATTTGTTCCGGTGTTATTTGGAAATTGCATTTTCTCACTTGGCACAGGCGAGATCTCTTCTGCTGGGATAAAGTTTTTCTCATGTAAACACTCAACTTGCAAGGTAGCCCGCTTGACGAGCTAAATTTGAACTATTTGAGCATGCGTATGATAACTTATTAAAATGGCGGAATACGTGCACGTGCAAAAGCGAGCAAAATAGACATGAGAATGGCTCAAAGAATAAACTTTCCTGCGATACAAAGATGATGGAGCTTTTGTTTGTTAATTTATCTGATTATAAGTAGAAGATGCTTTATACAAGTCTTGATTCCGACCGCGAAAAACGTCTCGGCAAGCGAGATGCATTAACGTCATATAAACACATGAAAAATTCCTCTCGCTTACCCGGCTATCCCGCTAAGCGGGCCATCTCGGCACCATATTAACAGTCCCTTAGACAGTAAGCCGCCAATTTAAGTTGTTCATTTGCACAGCTTAATTGTCCTACAAAATTTCATTGTTAGCACATTCAGTTGACTGACCACAAAATTTTGTTGACTTTGTGTAGCAATCATAAACATGATTTAGACTACCTATACCTTTATTTTCAACAGTGTAATTTTTATTCAAGTGGATGGCTCACCTAATTATTGAAATTATTAATCAATTGTTCTCGTTGTTTAATTTCTGTAGCACCTATAGTTGGTATGGTCGAAAGGGAAAAATATCTGCACCACAATATATCGATCTCGTAATGACACACATACAAAAACACGTGGAGGATGAATCTTGTCTGCCGTCAAAATATGGTATGATATTGTCCCCAAAGATTAAGTCAGGCGTAGAAAAGTTGAATAAAAATAGGAAGGCGCCCGTTTTCCTACATTTATTACATTGTTGGCTTCTTTTTCAATGTTAATGTACCTACTTTTATCCTACACTACATTCGTCACACCCTATACCACGGGACGTAAAACCTTTTTTGTTTCTTGTTCTACTAAATTTAAACTATTAAATTGTAACTGTTCTACTATATGATCTGTCAAAGGTTTTTCAAGTTCAGAATATTGGCACAAAGAAAACATCTGATTTTTGTCTCCATATCGTTGATTCTTAGTTAGCCAAGGCAGGAAACAAATCAAGTAGACAACTTGCATGGTGACATCAGATTGTTTATAGCGGGCAATGAACTGCGATCTTAGCTGTCGTGCGCATTCAACATTCTCCTATTTCTTGCATTACTTGGAAATGAGTGTTGTGCTATTTTTGTCACTATTCCTTATTAGTTAAGGTTACCGAAGTCTTAAGTTCTTTTTAGAAAAAACTGCTTTATACAGGAGTAAATGAAAAGATGATGTTCGACGTCCGTCAGCAGTCACAAACTTAAAATTATTGTGACAATTTAGTATACATAAAATAATATATCTTCATACGCTGCTATCAAGCAACGAAAAGCAGGAGTAAAAGCTCATGAAGGCAGCAGCATGGTGGCATAAAGGCAGCTCAACACATTTCCAACCGCCACCGGATAAGAACATTTCATTCACGTGACCACTAAAACCAGAATACTCTTCGGCCTTTGAGCTATGCTTTGCAAGTTGTCCGTTGCCCCTTGGGTAAATTTTCGTCAGAATCTTCTGTTCTCAAGTTTGTATCTATCCATTTGTGTGGGATTTGCCTCTGTTTCCAGCACGTCAGTAGTATAGGGAACGGAAGTTCTGAGACCGGCTGAGCCGGTGGAGCCTTTAAGCTTCACGGGAAACGCTGCATCTCAATTTACCCAGGATAAAATATTTAGGTTGCTATGGATCGTCGATAATTTATTCATGTCTCTGCATCATTCGGTGCTTAAAGGATAAAGTTTTTCTTTCGTTTTATTGAGCATTATAAGTGTGATACTTATTAATACATTTTACTGCTCGTTTGGATTAAATTATATCGTAGATGCATGTCAAACAAGCCAACAAGGGCAATCAAAATAACGTATACAATATTATATTTATGTAAAGCGACGCCTCAAAGCTCAACTCAAGCTCAAGCTACTTCTTAAACCGAGTTAAAAAGGCTATTTGTTTATATAAGTTGTTGACTTTCATACAGGCATGTTTCTCCTTTGAACACCACCCCCACCCCCCCTCTTAAAAAATCTAGGTAAGTTTCTTATGTTAGATTGTGAACAAACCTGCTTCATAATAACAACAACTTTTATACAATATTTTGGACTTTAATTGGTCTTATGAGTAGATGAGCGCATGCTCATAGCTGCTCATAATTACTCATGAGCACTTATTCAAATGCTCATAACTGCTCATCAGTGCTCGTAACTGCTTCGACACATTTGCTCATTTGCTCATAAAGGCAAATTGCTACAGAAAACGTCACATTTCTAAAAAGGCAGTGCTGGTGAAATGAGCTGCAGATATTGTGGAAAAGTATTCAATGGAGCTTTCAACTCACGCCGGCACGAAAAAGAGTACTGTCCACTAAGGGATCAGGAAGAAATGTCTCAATCAGACTCAGACAGTCAGTGAATGCATGTTGAAGATAATGTTTCTACAAGATCCACAGAGGAATCTTAAAGTTAAATGTCAACAGAAAGTGAGGCTGAAACTAAAGAAGAAACTGATTCTTGGATACCTTTAAAAGAAGAAGAAAAGGAAAAAAGTAATGTGGATTTTGATGAGATGAAAGCCATATCAACAGTGGACTGAATGAGCAGACAACTGAAAATCCAGCCTATTCTAACATTCTACAAAACTTCAAAAAGAGCTGGAGAGTATTTATGTGCAACGTCTTATGTTGATAAACCAACTGAAAAAAGATCCCATCCACAGAAAAATAATGCATACAAAGAAAGCGTTTGTAGAAAATGACGACTTTGATCCGCAGGAAGCTATGGAAGCAGCCATTGATAAGAGAAAGTTCTTCATGAACAGACTTTTAATAGAGCACAGCTTTAGTGAGAATACCAATGATGAAGAAAATTAACTTTGATCTAAGAATCTTTTCATAATAACTTGTATCTCTTTTTGAAGTGACGCTGTTTAATAAAATCTTTTGATTTTCAGTTTAGTATGAAACTTACTTTAATATTCCATAGCCGTAAAAATCCTCTGTCATTGTTTCTTTCTCTATCTATTTAATGAGAACATGCCAAGAAAGCCTCTTAGAAAACTGCCTTATACATACTGTGCGAAGCGCGATATTTTATGCACTGTTCAGCTTAGAGTCTTAAAAAATCAAAGTATTTAACTATAAGTAAGTAAATGACAGATCTTTAATGCATTTGGAATTTTAACTTAAATGAAAATTATTTTAAAAAGTTCAAACTTGTGTTGCTGGACAATGATGGAAAGGGGAATTCCCTAAATCAATGTTGCACGAAATACCTCAAGTAATATTACGGCTTACTTCTACCTACATTCCAGGCTTTCAGCAGTAAACTGCTTATTGTAAGCCTGAATGAACTAAAAATTGTTGCGCCACACCGCATAAAGGATTTGAATACATAGATTAATATTTCAACCATTTTAGGCAGAAAAGTTTGTGTTATCAGGTATTGCAATATCAATGTCAAACGCGTTGAACTTTTATCATCTGATTTCCGGAACGTCTTCGTTTAAATTCTCCTGATATAATCTCTAGCAACCGAGTAAAACAAACTTATACTAAAATGCTAATAATGTTAGTAAATTTAAGATGGACAGAGTTATATAAATAGTTTTAATCTCTAAAACAAACAAGTAGCACATTTAACTCGGTTTACGAAGTAGCTTGAGGTTAAGCCTTGAGGCGGCGCTTTACATACATATAATATTGTATACGTTATTTTGAATGCCCTTGTTGGCATGTTTGACATGCATCTACGATATAATTTTATCCAAACGAGCAGTAAAATGTATTAATAAGTATCCGTTTATAATGCTTAATAAAACGAAAGAAAATCTTTATCCTGTACGCACCGAATGATTCAAACACATGAATAAATTATCGAAGATTCCTAGCGACCAAATACTTTAACCTGGGTAAATTGAGATGCAACGTTTCCCGGGAACCACCAGCTCCACCGGTCTCAGAACCTCCATTCCCTATACTACTCACGTCACGTGCCGATTATTGGGTCAATGTATGTGTTTTATGTGCACAAGTTTGTGATTAAGCCCTCCTCGAGTTTTCCATCATTAATGGTTATTTTGCTCTCATTTGAAGACAAAATTTCCAGCATTGTTGAAGAACTAGTTTCCTTTGGTAAATCTATTGATTGATAAAAATAAGAAGCTACTTACGTGAAATAAACCCTTATGCTGGAGCACGATGATTGCTTTAGGCAATAAAGATTCTGCTCATTGCACCTGGAAATGCTTATGGCAGTGGTTCATGTTCTGAAAAATTAATGTTTTAGCTACAGTTTGTGGCTCCCTTTTATTATTTCAAAAAATATGAAGATCATGCTTGCTAAACTTTTAATACAAAAAAAATTATTTTTGGGGAAAAAATTTCATCTGTCAAGTTTTGTCATTATGATTTTTCAAAAACAATGAACATGTGTCAATTAGAATTTTGTTTACTTTTCCCTAAATCTGAAATGACATGAATTCACGAGAGTTGTTTTGCCATGTAGGCTCCAAGTTTCCCGCGAGTTTTGGTACGTCAGTGAAGAAATTTATAAAGCTACTACTTCACGTTCTTGGTCACATATACTACAGCCACATCGAGGAAGTCAGTGAACTGCAGCTTCATCCTTATCTAAATACCGTTTTTATCCATTTGATGTATTTTGATAACAGATTTTGCCTTCTCGACGTCAAGGATACTGCACCGCTTGAGGATTTAGCTCTAGCGATGAATTTGAATCTTTAGCTAAAACAAAGTTGACAGAGCCACAGAAAAATTATGTTTAGGTTTTTATATATCTAAAAAGGTAGTTATTTAAATCTATTAGAGTTTAACAACGTAGCCCGGTTAAGTTACGATTTCTATACATTATAATCAGTTGTAGTTGAATAAAATTACGATTGTAAAATCAAAAATTTAATTTGAAAAAGTAATTTTCAACATGCTAATTTTTAAATCAATAGATAACATGCATATATGAATATTAGCCTCCTAATTATTAATCTTCTGATGCCTTACCTGAACCTTGACTGTCGTTTGTCGTAGAAAATAATAGAACAATTTAATTGTGAGGCCTGTGTTTGTCGGCGGGGTGTACAAAAAGGTGGACAGTTCAAGAGACGTCGTTAAATTCGTCATTGCGCCAAGTATCAATAAAACTTCAGAAGAAATAGTTAGACTTGAAATAGTTCATTTGACAGTAAATGTGTCGCAAATAATAGCCATTTTAGTGGGAGAATTTTTCTAAGGAGAGGTTCTTTTGAAATGGTTTGCGGGAAGAAATGACATAAATAAAACGCAATAAGAACACCTAAAGCTAAAATGTGTCACTTGTTACTCTATGCTTGGGCAATAGCTCAGCGTTCAAATCGCAGATGCTTTTGGGTTTTTAGTCCCATTTTTAAAATCTCTTGCAGTATGCATAAATTTGATGCTTCTTCTAAATGCTTCTTCTAAATGCTTCTTCTAAATACTTCTTCTAAATGGCTGTTATTTTGGATAAATTTACAGTCACATGAACCACGAAAGTAGATATGATGCAGCTATAAGGACACTTTTTGACGGAGCTCTTACCCGTGTCAACTAGTTTCCAGACCTAGGAAGTAAGTTGGGCGCGCGCGTGTGCATCGGAAACATCTAAAAACATAAAGAGGAATAAATTACGAATAATTGGTTGGAAATGAAAAAATAGGAAATGAACTTATTGTAATTGGCGATAAACATGATGTTTTATTCAACGATAGTGACGTGTACTATTTTGAGCTTAATAAAAAGATTCGTTCGCAAAAACAATTGAAAAAGAAACATTTCGACTTTGAAGGATCTTGCGGCTAGAGCGGCTATCATCAATCTATACCAGACTTTGAGAAATGTGAGAGTTAAGATATCTTCAGAGAGTATAACAGACAAAGTTTTGATAACGAGTAAGACTTGTTTTCATGTCAAACCAGAAGCAAACATAGATAAAATGCTTGCAACATATTTCTCAAATTCTACATTAAAAGTGGGTTTCTGTAGAAAGTGGCGTGATAGAGACCCAGGGACGCTGTATATCATTTTGTCCAATAAAGAGGAATTACGATGGAGGAAATTCGAGGATGTAACATAGCTTTCTCGAACAACAAAGGCTATCATATGGTTGGGGTAAACTAGAGAACATTGACAAAAGATTCCATGCAAGATCATGAACAAATACACTTGTATGGAGAACGAACATCTAGGTCTCAAATTGACTTTTATTTAGCTTTTTTTGTTGCTATGATAAATTTACGTAGACGTTTAAACTTTGCAAAGTATGGGAACATTGTAAATCGCATTATCAACTTTTATTACGTCAATGATGAAAGATTCCCTTGATTATATTAACTTGCAATTTTACTTGCAAAACCGGATGTTATGGTTAATATGGAAGAATGTAAATGTGTACTTTATCCAATAAAACATAAAGAAGCACTCGTTATATATTCGTTAATTGTTGCCTATATAGGAAGACGGTTATCTTCAAAAATGTTAATTGTGATTGCTAGTAGTTCATTTCTTTTTGGTTTTGACTGGTGGCAGAGAAAAAGATTATGCAATACATGTTTGAACAAATGTATCCCAAGTTGCACACACCGTCAATACAACGCTGGTTTAAGGTTGTAGAAAGGTGATGTTTGACTTAACTTTGGTACAACCTTCACACAACGTTCTCCCAGATGAAAAAAATTGCGAAACGTTCACTCAACGTTTGTTTGACGTTATGAAATAACGTAAAACTCCCAAGGTTTTTACGACGTCGTATCAACATTGCAACAACGTTTTAATCAAACGTTCATTAGTAATTATTGTACAACGCTATTTCAACGTCGTATCACAACGTTGGGTTAAGGTTGTTGAAGGACGAAAATAGTCACGTTACGATAATGTTGGTTGAACTTTTGGAAAAAACATCAACACTTCGACGTTTCAGCAACGTCGTATCTTAACATTGCAAAAACGTTGTAATTCAACGTTGAATAGCAACTTTTATACAACGTTATACATTGTCGCATCATATTGTTGAATCAACGTTGTGTAATGACGGAAATAGTTACGTTATAATAACGTTGTTTTAACATTCAACTTAACATCTTAGAAATGTCGTCAATAAACATTCAGGCAACGTTTTATATTAACATTTTAACAACGTTCGAGTATAACGTTTTCTTGATATTTAACCTTTACTTTGAAATCGTCTTGACCTTGGCTTTCTGTGCGTGTTGGGTTTGCCGATCGAGTTTTCATGCAATAAATATACAATATAACTGCGACTCTTGATGTTTTGACAATGTTTTCTTTCTGTTATGTTTGAAAGTAAGTTATTAATCTGTTTATTTTGTGTTCAAATGTTGAATGAGTAGATTGGAGACCCATGATAAAAAAAACTGACGACGAAATTCCGTTTGTTTACATTATTTTTAACAGAAAACTTTTCATGCAGTACGTTTGCTGGTAACATCTTTAAAGTAAGTAATGTTTCTATTGTTTACTTGTATATGGTATTAAGATCAGTGTATATATTATTAAAGACTGTGTGTTTACGTCTGTGTTTTATGTATTTACTGTGAACAAATGATAAAGACTATATTTTAATGATACCTTTAACCTCTTTAAAGCAAAGATTAGCAAAAAGCGTTCTCTTCATTCATTATTTAAACATATTTTATTAGATTATTAACTGATGTTAATCCATTTATTTAGGATCGCTCAAACAAAACGTCAAGAACAATGAATGTGAGAGGATGTATATAAAGGACAGAGCCTTGCTTGAGAGATCTGCATTACCCTTTCATGAAAAAGAATTGGAAATTTTGGACGGTATATGGACTATAAACGGAAGTTCGATAGAGTTTTGAAGGACGTTTTTACAAAAACAAATATGCAAGGACGCAAACGTTATAATGTATAGATAGTTTTCTATTTATAAAACACTCATATTATTATTTTATACCTGGTTTAGATACTACGTATCATCTAACTTATCTTATTTTGCTGAAAAATAGTATATATCATTGTTTACAGTTGTTTTTGTGCTACTTGTTATATATTCAAAGCCTTGCTAACGCTATATGATAACGTGTCATGATAAAACTACAAAATAATGCTTTTTTGATGTAAAATGCTGAAACCTAAGTGTTAGATCTATCATTTCATTTAACGTTACGTTTAAATAATGTCTCTGCAACATTGTTATTAACGTCGGTTCACAGGTTGCATTTACGTTCCTACGAGTCCACAAAAAAACGTTTTATTAACGTAAATTACAACGTTGTCTCAACATTAGATCTCAACGTTCGCACCACGTAATTATTCCACGTTAAAGTAACGTTTATACAATGTTGGTATTGTCGTCGGTCCCGACGTTTTATTTACGTTCCTACGAGTCTACAAAAAAACGTTCTGTCAACGTACAATTGAACGTTACTGCAACGTTCTCACAACGTAATTTTGCTACTTCGGTACGCAGCTGATGTTGTCCTTGAAGAAATCGCTCACAGCAATCCGATTAATTTGATTGTTGTCGAGTTTCTTCACAAAAAAAAAATTAACAAAAAGAACTTGATGCAATTAAACAAAGTCCATGGGGTACTTGAGGCAAAGTAATAGCAGAAGAAGAAAAATGGTTTTGTTTTGGACAATGTGCACTCGATGATTTTGCAGAGAACTTGTATGGCATTTAATTTGCGATGCTTTCAAGTTTTTGAAATATGGTGGACCAACAGCTTCTCACAGAACGTACTATGAAAGACTTTTGAAAGCAACATGGATCGAACTGAATGTCCATTTACACCCACAACGAGACCGTCTTTTTTTAACTATTTGTTTGATTATGCTGACTGCTGTTGTAAATTAAAATATGAAACAACTATATGAGATTTCTTAAGTCATTTCAATAATTTTTTTCTGTTGTCAACTTCATTTTTTTAACATTGCAATGGCGTATCAAATGGGGTGGAATAGTTGTGAAAGTAATCCAAAGAGATCAATAGACTACACATTCATAAACTTTCTTCAGAGAAAATTTACCATGTGTCTAAACATGGATTAAATGATGAAGACAAACGCTTTCTTTGGATGTGTTGAAAAGCATTGAAAATTTTGAACTACCCCCAAAACATTGTATTTTGAAACATTATATTTTGAAACATTGTATTTGATGTATCTACAATTAAGAACACCCATGTTTTTGCATCTTTGAAGCGTTCTCTAATAATCCACGTGCGAAAAAATATAAAGACGTACTACATAATGCGATAGCGTTTATTTGACCGTGTATGATTTTGGATAACTCGCTTGCTGAAAACAAAACATGGAAATTTGCGGCAGTAAAACTCATAGTGCACATTTGAGGTGGGATAAAAATCCTAATCTACAGTAAATGTTTCGCTTTGTATAAGTTTGCAGGTAGGATACGCAAGTAAAAAAGTCAGAAAATTATGGACGTGCCGCAGTCAAACATATAAAAGATGATGCAGTAGAAAAAACTGTAAACAAAAATAAATTTTTATGAAAAGGAGCTGCAAAAGATCGTACAGAAAGATGATGTTTACGGAATTGAGAAAATACTTAAGAAATGAGGAAGAAGCGACAATGTACAATATCTTGTAAAGTGGCAGGTTACCTTGATAAATTTAATTCTTGGTGTATGCATCTGAACTAAATGTATAAAACAAACACGTTTTCATGATCTTTTTCATTTCACATTTTATCTTAAAGATGAGCAGAACACACTTTTATTTGACATTACCAAGTAACGCATCGCTGTCTGTTTTTCCTGAGAATAAAGTTTCAGGTTACCGTGTGAAATTACCAGATGTCGTGGGTTTAAATGGCAACTGGGAAGTGGGTTATATTCACTAACGTATCTGGACACCTGGTATACTTTTAGAGAAGT